GCATGGTACAGACTGGCTTTCCTAACCTGTGTGCTCATCATTTCACCAAAAGTACTAATTGGGATTAGTGGATTCCACCAAAAATACCAATTGGGCAGCAACAATGGAATATAGAATATTGCCTGTGCACAGTGGAATAAGACAAAGAAAATTTGATGCATGTATCAAGTACACATAATCACTGCATTGCACACCTTGTATGCTATTTTCTGACAAGAGTGCTGACAGAATACCAGGTTTTATTGGGAGTTCACCAAAAATACTAATCAAGACTAGTGTGCTCGGCGGCCAACTATACCCAATCAGGCTGTCAATCACCAAGATTGCACCTTTCGACAGCAATAACTCTACAATCAAAGCACCTCATAACAAGGCAAGGGCATGTTTGAACTCCTGGAGTGTTGGTCTACAATATCGGCCGAAAAGGTCAACAACTTTTTTCCTAACCCTTACCCCCATTTGCCTATTCATATCACATGGTATCATAGAGTCTATCTCTTCAAAGGCAGATTTCATAGTCATTGTGGTGTTGAGTAATTGTACAGTGAAGTATGGGTACAAAAAGGTGGTTCGGCGCATTACGCGAATCCGCGCATTACTCGCACGGACACGACCAGGATAGGGCCCACTTACGATCTGTACCACAGATGCCAGTCAGCGGCTTGCTTCATTAGTCTGTCAAGTACTAGCATAGAGCCAATTTACAGCCCATATTACAGACATTAGTTAGCAAGCCCTATCCAAATAGTAGTCATGATCCCTGAACACGCACCTGGCGATCTTGAATCTCTTTAACGTGGCTTTCTCCCGTGTTTTGGGATACCGGTAGGGCAAAACTTGCAAAAGGCATTGCAATGTCGAAAAGAACAAAGCATCTCATCTTTAGAGAGCGAAGCAGTGTCAGCAGAGGTTGAGGGAAAGCAGAATGCGTGCAGAGAGAGCAAAAGCTCGGTGGGACCTTCGCGTCTTGGGATGGATTCCACTCCAAATAGGCTTCTGCAGTCGTACAACTTGAAGCCACTCCCAGAGCAATATAGTTCAAGGCACTATCGAGCCAGTTAGCTATAGCATTTGACTTAGCACTGTGTCAGGCGGGTGTTGCTGTCGGTATGGATACACTAAAACTTCGCACGAGTCAAGTTGCATGTCCGCACACCCCAATCCGCTTGTGCCACTCGAACATGCGTCAGTGTGGTTGCGCAATGACGTCAGACAATAGCCATCTTCGCCTTCCCGAGCATCTGCGATTAAGAGATTATCAACCTCGCCCCGCCACGTTGCCAGCCCACTTTACCTGTATGACTTTAGGAAACTTGCTGCGTAATGTGCACGTTGCAGAGGAGGCCGCGCGTGGAAAGGTAGGGATGGAGAAATGTTCACAAGCGCAGCCACCGCCTGCACGTTTGGGTCGTGCTGGGCTTGGTTTAGGAAGTGCTGTTGACAGAATTGGCATGCAGGAAACCAGTCGAAGATCCCTATTTTCCGGTCGTCCAACGCTATCTGAATCAACAACAATACGATTGAAGACGGACTCCTTCTGCGAAACTCTTGCCCTCAACTGAAGCGTCAAATTTACTGTGGTCTTAGACTGGTGGAGGTAGTACGAGCCTCAGGGTGATCTTTTTACACCCAATTGAGTGATTGATCTGTAGATCGCTTGCGTGTTGACAAATTGGATAAGTTTACCTGCGTGCACTCTCTATCCCTTGCGCCCCGCTGTCCGAGGATCTCCGAGTGTCTCTGATAGTGCGCCACTGGTGTTCTGTGATAGCAGAGTGAGGCGATTTCGGCCACAAAAGTTACTGCGTAGATATGATAGCTTGAAACAAGAATATTGTAGTTCTATGGAAGCCATTTACGCGGTACTCCCCAACTCATTATTGGTTCTCTAGGGTATAGCCACAGCAGCTGCGAGGATCTGAATGCGTTGTCTCGGTTTGGGGAGATGACGGCGTGAGAGGTTTTTGGAATGGTCATTTCCGGAACCTAGTCATCTTTTGATGGGACCTATATAAAGCTCTACTGCACGCATTGCTTAAAGAATAAGTCCATCTCGTCTTGCATTCACTTCCACACTTCGAAAAACTTGTAACCTTGTTGAATACTCAAGCCTATCGCAGCATACTTCAACATGCGATTCAGTATCGTCACCTTGCTCATCACTGGTCTGGCTACCGTACAGGCTGTAATCTTCGGCCGCAGGATCACTGATGAAGTATGTGAATCCAGTCACCGAAATTTCCTGGTCTTTAGCTAACGTAAACGGAAAGTATGACGACCTCGGGACTACGCTTGGAGTAGCCGTGACTCCCACACTTGTTAGTGATGGCGGAATCGCCTACAACAACTTCGGATATGTCACAGTCGGTGCTGTGAACAGCAAAATCCCTCAGTTAACTGGTGAGAATTCCCAAGATGAAGAAAACTCTGAGCAATGCTTACAAGTCCTTCGCAGGTATTGATCCGCAATCTGGAAAGAACGTTGCCCTTCTTCAGATGCCTGCTTCAGGGTCCTTCTCAACCACTGCAAGGTGCTTTGAGCTTTCAGATTTCTACGTTGGCTGCACAACGGCCAACCTGGAAGGAGCTGTAAACATACCTCTTCCCTGTACAGTGACCCTCAAGGCGTACAACGCGGAAAACAAACTTGTGGACACTAAAAAGGTCGAATTTACCCCCAATGGCCAGCCGAAGAGCACGATGGATCGGTTCGTTGTGGAATTGAAACCTGCCAAGACGGTAACAGTGGATGTTGCGATTCTGAATCTGGGAAGCATCGGGTCGGCAGCGACGGCGGCTTTGTTTGATAATGTGAGCTATACCCAGTATGACCAGTCGCAGACGGGACGCGCATCTTGTGGTGAGGGATTCTAAGGGCTCGGTACTATTTGAGGTCACAGGATTGATGTGAAAGGTTGTAGATCAATGACCACTGCCTCGGCGCTCAGTCATCAGGACAAGATCGTCGATCGCCATAGTATAACCTCAAGATTTATCGTCTTATATAGTCTAGACTTTTAGTTGACGTTAAATTTAAATCAATCAACCTCAAGATATATGTCGCGGCGTAAACAGCCGCTGAACATGATGGAAACTACGCTTTTTTGCTTGCTAGCTGGAAGGCGTCAATATATACATGCCCGAGACGTGCTAGTCCAGAATAGTTACGGGAGTGGCGGTCGAGGCATATATAGGACCAAATTGGACCGCAACAACATCTACTCCAAAATACCAGGGCTTACGTTTCTTCAGCTTGACCATTCCAAGCCGAGTTCGAAAATCGTGTGGTTTCACAAGCCGTGTAAGACATTGTAAGACGGCATTCGAGTAACAGACCTCTATTTAATTTGCCAAACCGCAGGGCTTGATGTCCATCGCACGAGATTCTGTCACATAACCGGGTTTCATCATATCTATCATGATTGGTAGCAAGCATGAGCGACCGAGAGCCCTTTGAAAGCGCATCGCTTTTTAACTTACATCTACCCGGATTGCGTCAGCACTTATGCTCGTGATGCAAGCACAAGCGTAACACTTAATGCTGACAGTGGCTCAAACAAATGAACAACATCTTCGCATGCTACTCGTTGCAAGGCAGATAGACTACAAAAAGCTGTCTTCCGTAAAGGTTATTATGCACAGGTATAGGACATGACAGAAACGAGTGCAGCTGCTATTGCTGTATCGTCCAGAGTATACATCAGGCTACGGCTAAACCTAAGTAGGCCTTAAAAAGGGGGTATTTTGTGGCTAGCGCGACTCAGGGGGCGACTCACCCCCCAACTCGTGGTCTATTCCCAATTAGGGACGAGCAGAGCGCTATTCGTGAGGGTCGCGTGGAGGTAGGCGTACAATAAGCGACGATCGGAACCGATTGCAGCCAAGTACTATTGAGGCTGCTCGATTGTAGAACAATTGGCTGCGTTATGGGCTTGTGGAGAGCTCAGATACTGAGATGGAGAGGCATATAGCGAGGTTGGAGAGAGGGAAGACAAACACAGCAGCAACAGCTACCCCTGAGTGCTCACAGGCCTCACATGCGTCACAGAAGGGGCCTCCTTCACCAACACTCCTCACGCTAGACTAAAATAGGTAAACATACTGCCGTACTATGTTACTACTCCGTAAAATGGGCCTACACCGTGATATTGGGACGTTACGGGGCATCAATTGACCCGTAAGTAACCGTGACAACCTCTAACTGTAGCCGTTTACGTACGGTTGGACACGCTGACTCTTCCATCTGCTGCAGCGCAAAGGCGTCAGGACCACCGCAACCGCGCGCGCATCACCCGCAAAGCTAAGAGTAGCAACAAGAACGACCGCAAATACTACTTCTGGCGTCTGGCGCTCAACCACCGCATTTACATGCAAACGCAGACGCCTTGGATCAGATGGAGGTCACAGAGCAAGTCGACAAGCTGGAAGCTGCTGTCGACAATCAGTCAGGAGGAGTTTGAGAAGAGCCTTGAGGGCATCGAGAAGAGGAGTGGCTGGAACAGGGCCAAGGCACGACCTAATGGCGCAAAGAGTAAGCGCAAGAGGGTCGTTGTGGAGGATGGGAATGATGACTGGGAGGATATGGATAACGAGTCTCTGGCAAGCAAGAAGCCGAAATTGTGAGGGCATAAAAGTATTGCAGGAGTATGTGGCGTTGGAAAGGGCCACTGTGGCATTGATACCATCAGATTGCTTGCTGAGCGTCATTGAATGAACATGAGAGCACAATAATTATCGGTCCAATTTCCATCGCTTTGCCTACTCGCCCAGTTGCATATCAAAGAAGACTGCGTCAAGATTGACTATACCCCCTCGATCACTCCACGCGCTCGTTGTGACTGTCCCTTCCATCGGTCACATGTGGTGATGGCTCTACCTGATTGTCTTCAAGACTAGAGATACTCACTTCATCATCTCCTCCTACACGCTTGTATGCGTATCCCAAAGATGACATCGGTGGAATTCGAGGTGGTCCAGATTTATCAGACGACACTGGCCGATCTATGGCAGCGCCCTCACCCGTCCATGCACCGTCACTCAAGTCGACACTTTCTCGTCTGTCAATATTATGATGTGCTTCTGCGACGCCGGTACTCTCTGGTCCATCAGGAACAGGCTCGTGCCGTTCGTGACTTGCACGGCCTTGTGTGTCGGACTGTCGCGTGGGCTGTGCGGTCGTGGATGGCTTAAGAAGAGGGCCCTGGGTGGCGTCCTTGGCGTCCTTGTTCTTTCGCCAGAAGCGCAGGCGGGTCACCTGACTTGGAGCTGGAGCTCCAATCTCGCTACTAGTAGTGATGTTGTTGTAGAGATGCCGCGTGTTGACTTTGGTGTTTGTATGCACAAGGCTAAGGCATGCCAAGGCGTGTGCAACGACAAGTATCATGTGATGAGCAACCTTGCCAAGGCCGCCCCATCAGCCGAGGTCGCAACTTTCCCTCAAGCTCCGACGCTATCCCCACTCTTGCCAGCACCGTTCCTCTAGCACTTGCTCACTCCCCTGCGAAGTGACCTCCACGGGACTCCGAACGTCGAGAGGTCTGGCTTCAGGATATTGATCCCCGTCAAGCGGGTCATTGACTACGCGGTAAGCCTCGACTCCATTCCTGCTTGTAAAAAACTTGCCTAAATGCCGCACTCTATGCGCATTCTATAAAATTTCCTGCCTTGATGTCCTCGTTTATCTGTCTTCCCAGCCTGACGTATTCCAAGTCAAACCGCGCGTAAACCGCACGCAAACCGCCGTCCAAACCGCCAACGTAAAACACTCCATGAACCCCTTCGACGAGCTCTCAATCGAAGAGCCATACGCTTACGTGAAAAGAAATTCACCCCGGTCGAGGAAATTGTTGCCTTGAGCGCCGGGCTTCCAAAGAGCCAGAATACTCTGCGCACCGCCATGGCCATGGGCGCCGACCGCGGCATCCTCCTCTTCCCAGCGACTGCAACCAAACGCGCCTAAGTTGTTATTAGGCCCTCTTGGCCTACCTACCTACCTACATGGCAGGGAGCTGACAGGTTGGAGTACTAGCACTAACCTTTTTTGCCCTATTTAGTACTGGTCCCGGATTGACTCCGTGACTGCCCCTCCACTTACCCCTTTGAGCCATTTTGGCTCCGTAGCCTCCGCTGCCGTGTTGAACCTCCCATTCCTAGCAGCTGACTCACGGCCTGTATGCTGCATCAGCAACCCGATCATATGCTGAGGGTTTGCCACGTTTGCTGGAAATCATAGGCACAGGATTTGTTGCGCTAGGATCATCCTCGCCAGCAAAGAGCAGCAATGGCTCAAGGCGACGGATGCCAGTGCTCTCGTTGTCGAGCGAGGCCGCAAGGCGATGTTGCACAACGCGGCGGGCATTGGGCGAGGCAGGGCCCTGCCTCTTACGTGACAACGTTGTGTCGAAGTGACTCTGGAGATCGGCTGGCAATGCGCGCTGTGTATCGGCGTTGATGCCGTAGGCTTGAAGCGTGACGCGCGTGTCCCAGGCGCTGCGTGTTGGCGACCCAGAACGCGCCGACATGGACGGCGAGGATGTAGATGATCCAGTAGGGCTATCAATATCGGAGGCAAATTCTGATGGCTGCGAGTGCCGTACGGATGCGTTGAGAGTGTGCTGTGTGAGGTTTTTGCGCGTGAGGGGCAGCGTATACCCCTGGGCGGAGTCGGTGTCAATGGGGAATAGCGACAGGCGACTGCGGAGCGGATCGCTGTGTGCGGAGCGCTTAGCCGAGCGAGAGACGTTGCAGTCGGCGTCGCTATCGCCCTCGTCGGTAGGAGCAGTGCTACTGCCGGAGCGTGCACGCTTTGGCATGATGGCAGCTCGGTGCTGCGTCGTTGTGTTGTGATGCTCTGAGCCGGACGCTAGCGGCTTCCCGTTGTCGTAGAGACCTCAGCGCGTGCCCCTGCAGCCCCACCGCCCCATGTCCAATGCGCTGAATATCGCGGGGTATTGACGGGACATGAACTCAACAACTCCAAGCAAAATTCGCAACGAGGCGAGCAGTAAAAGGCGCAGTAAGATCTGCAACGCGGGCCATACATACTATCCAGAGATGAAGCTGCCTCGAAGCGCACTGCTCTTAGCTCTCTCGTCTAACTTCACTTGTAGCTGTGCTCGCGCTCCACCCGAACTTCCGTACCGCCCAACCATACACCTGCAAGGCTCGACAAAATTGAGACTATAAGGCCACGCATTTGCGTACGATAAGTTCTGATGATGGAGCATGAACTTGCTGTATTCATTCGCGGCCTCCTTGTCATTTTAGCACTGCAGTCAAGCCAGTAGGTAGTTGTTGGCTTGGGAATGTTGAGCGAGCACGATATGCCTGCAGGAAGGCGCAAAGCCGCTTATGAGAGGTGCTTGTCTGCTGGAGTGCCTATGTAGACCCTCCATTTGGTTATCGCAGATATCATCTACTGGCATGGCAGGCAGTTATACGAAGAAAGCTGTCCTTCTCCTTTCGTATCTTCAGAACAGATGTCAATTTATAACTACACGACATCAGAGCACATGCACATGACGGAACTAAGCCTAAAGTGGTCATAAAAAGGGGTCGATTCGCCGCTAGGTCCAAAGGGGACGAATCAGGGCCCAGGCTGCGGACTGTTCCATAAGAGGGGCGAACTGAGCGCTATTTGTGAGGGTTGCGTGGAGGTAGGGTATTTCTTTGGTCTTCCCCCAGGCATAATATAAGCTGAGTAGTAGATGTTGCTAATAAAGAGGCTTTAGGGGAAGACTGCATTTGGCAGTCAGGAGATAACTCTTCTTGCACTAGTGTGTTCAGGACATAACTCCTTTAGTCTTAGTGCTGTGCAGCGCAGTCTTCCACCACCACAACCTTCCACCTCAAATATCTCAACAACCACAACTCAGACTGCAGTTCTAAAGAGTGCGTTCTACTTACACAATCTGCCTCTATCTATAAATAATTTGAAACTAAGATTTCTTTCCTTGAAATTTTCTAACCCTACCTGTATATCTCCTCTTTAAGTCTAATAGCTTAACTGATGCATTGTTGTATTGCAAAGTTTAACATAACTGTAGTTGGGCAAGGCTTAGTAAGCAGCACTAGCTAATGCATAGATCTGTCTTGGTGCAGTTCCAAATCTGCCAGATGCTCAACTGCAACTAGTAATGCTATATGCAACTAATTATAAGAACACAATATGCTTCTTCTGAGTATTTTTCTCTGTACCATGTTACAATCAGTGGTACACTAGGTAGCACTGACAAGGATTGCTCTCACGCTAACATAGGCAACAACAGAGCAGTGGCAAGTCTTGGTTAAGCTGAGACAGAAACAAGGCTAGCTGTCAGACTGCATATATGCTCTCACTGATCTCACAATCCAACATACAGCAACAGAGCACGCAGAGCACTCTGCATGAACGCTCCCACTGCTCTCACTGCGCTGTCAGATCACACAGAGCAGACTGTCATGGTATCCTCTCCAGATCCCCTGACACTATCCGGATCTGCTCCGTACTGTCCCTGACCGTACGCACCAAATCCCCAGTGTCCTTACACGCCTCCAAAGCGGACATACAACCTCTGGTCACCTCCGGAGAGGGCCTGCAACCTCCAAAGCGGGAGTATTAGAATTCTGCAAGCCCCGCTCTGGGACTTGCAACCCCAATACCTATCCAACTCAGTTCTGATTATTAACCAGTAACCAAACAAACCCACACGTAAGTATATAGACTATTGCTGGTACAGTTCTGTTCGGTACACAACGTCTTGTACCTACTTAGATACCATATGTAGTAATTGATTTAGACTCCTAGCGAGTCCTAAAGGGCCTACTCGTAGCATCTTCGTGACACAGACTGTAAGGGTATCTGTGACAGCGAGCTTAGTAACAATGGGGGGTGGTCCCATAAGGTTAATTGCTACCGTTTCCCTGGCCATTGTGTGCCCGATTATCTATGCGCTCTCGTCCGTACCACGCTAGCATCCCAATGGGTTAGCGCCATCATCCCGACACGTGACAGCCTACTTCACTACAGCACCATGACCCCGTTACACAGACAGATCACCAGATAGACACGTTTAGTATATAGCATGTAGGAACACAACCCTTATGGTTTATGTTCAACCTCATCAATTAAGTTTGTCATTGGATCTCAACCAACCTTTGAGCTAGACAGACTGCCTGTACTACTCATTGTTACCCCAAGCCGTTGTTAGGTGTTTCACCCAGGCAACTTACCCCTACTGTTCCAGAACCAGAGCTCATCCTTGAGAACCAATTGAATAGTACTTACGAGCTTTGCTTAAAGTACAACTTCAACAGACCACTACAGGACTACGCCAAACTTGGCCTCCCAAAGTTAAGGGTATTGACGCCCATACTGTAAGAAGGTGCCTTGCACTATGCCTATATATTAGATGCAGAGCCCAATATCAGCAGTTGTGCTGATATTGATGTACTTTTTGGCCATTTGGCACAATGGGGCTCTGCATTGTTACACATACCATCTGAGCAGGTAGGCATGCAGTGGTAACCTTCTCTACCATCTCATGAGACCATTTCATATCAGGTATTCACCATACCCAAGGTGTGTTGTGGCCAGATCCCCAAGCAATGCTACACTTGTCACTGAACTTAAACCAATGCCTTCTCCAATCAAAGCCTTGCCAATCAATAGCAAGATGGTAACAAAGTTTTGCTGTAGGTTTAATGATTTTTGGTCTGCACTTGTGTCATCCTGACATGGCTTGCAGCCAATAACAATCCACCTAGTCACTCCTCATGGAACCTCATTGTAACGCCTTGGACCAAAAGCGCTCCGATAATGTGTAGTCCCACAGGGACTCAGCACACTGCTCTCTTTCCTGTCGCTAACTACTTCCATGTCACCTAGACATGGGTAGTTTCGATTCCCCTCCGAACTGTGTACTTAATCAGTTTGGCACAGTCGTTAGATAGAGTAGTTTTTCTGTATCCTTTCGTACAAGACCTATAGGTGTAGGGAATTCAATCCTAGTGTTCTCAACGTCCCAGCACTCCCATATGCCTCGTAGTGGACTCACACTTACTTTGGACATCTTCCCTACTGGCCTGCGTCGTTACACAATTCACCTCAGCAACTCCTTCCTCAACCCACTCCTCACTGATCCTTTGTGGTATTCCCACACTTGATCCCTTCTTTATTATTTATCCCTTCTATCACTTGTGGTATTCCCACACTTGGTCTCTTTCTGTAACGGGGTCATGGTGCTGTAGGGAAGTAGGCTGTCACGTGTCGGAACGATGGCGCTAACCCATCGGGACGCTAGCGTGGTACAGACGAGAGCGCATAGATAATCGGGCACACAATGGCCAGGAAAACGGTAGCAATTAAATCTTATGGGACCACCCCCCATTGTAACTAAGCTCGCTGTCACAGATACCCTTACACTTTCACACCCCTATCTTCAACAAGCCTGAACCTTCCTTCCACCAATCCTTCCATCTCAGAGAGCAGTTGGTATCCCCAGCTGGCCCCCTCTCACAGCTTGGCTATGAACGTGCGGTAACCTTGTTCTGCCATTGCTCATTGGATAGTACGCTATGAGACATGTGGGTGGGTGCTGCTGAGGTCTTTCATCCCTGCCTCCTCCACAAGCTTACGGTACTCAATTTTGGGCTTCTGTTGGGTAACACGTTGCAGCCAGCAATGATCTCTGCTAGATAAAATTGTTGGACGGCCCATTCTGGGTCACAACGTGGTTCCAGAGGTCTCCTTCCATTGAGCAATGGTTTTTTGGATGCGGTGTTTTGAGCAGTGAAGAGCGGCTGTGATTTCCTTACTCTCCACACCAGCATCATGTAAGAACTGTACCAACCGTTTCTTCCTCATACTACTCACACGATTGCTATCTGACTCCTAACCAATCCCTACCCTACTACCTACCGGTATCCCCCGAGCTACATCGAGCTGTTAGGTATATAAGCAGGGCAGTGTACATAGTTATGGTAGATAGTTTTTGAGTATCCTTTCATACAAGACCTATAGGAATAGAGGTTTACTCCTAGTTCTATCTATCCCAGTGCTCCCATACACCTTGTAGCGGATTCGAACCCATATCGGAGTCCTCTCTTACCTGTGTCGTTACACATCAAGTTGAGCTAAGCAATAAACGCGCTGCGCTTCTGATAATTCACCTCCAGGCATCCAATCCCCTGAAATTTAGTACTAAAAGAACTCTTGTTGATGTAGTCATATGCTATCAAAGAAGATGCTGTTCTGGAGAATTGAGGGGTGATGGTGGCTTGTACATTTTGCGCAAACAGACTTTTGGCTTAGTACAGTATAGAGGAGACATTCAGAGCCATGCTAATGTGGCCATTAAGCCATAAAACAGGCCCGCTCAGTTGATGAGGCACATCATCTGTCATGGGTTTAGACTGTTTGGCTCCCAGTACCCATATCTATTGGGTTACTTTACCTTTTTGGTTGGTGTAGCTCAGGTGGGACCAAGCCGATGTTGAAGTCGTACTTTAAGCAAAGCTCGTAAGCACTATTCAATTGGTTCTCGAGGATGAACTCTGGCTCTGGAACAGTAGGGGTAAGTCGCCTGGGTGAAACACCTAACGACGGCTTGGGGTAACAATGAGTAGTACAGGCAATCTGTCTAGCTCAAAGGTTGGTTGAGATCCAATGACAAACTTAATTGATGAGGTTGAACACAAACCATAAGGGTTGTGTTCCTACACATATATATACAGTCCACCAGATCTGCTCGCTGACGAGCAGAGTTGGTCCTGGCCAATCCGGATGGATTGCAGTTCGTCAACGAGCATCGTACCATGCTTGTTGACGAGCACTCACGTGTGTCAGCTCGGCTGAGAGCAATCCCCTAGGCGCCGGCCGGGCGGCCTTGCCTTGCTGCACCTCCCCCCAGGCCTCCGTGTTTGGTTGGCGGTTACTTATTGCTTGTCGTCCTATCGTGGGACATAGGATCGTAACAGCCGAGCCCTCACATCATCTTCCACAGGTCGTCACAACTTCATCCAAAAAGACATGCAATATGTAGCCGATCAAAGAGCTTTCTGTTGGTAAGTTCATTGAGCTACATCTATCATGCTGACTAATCCTAAGGTCTAATTGGTTGCCTAACCCCATACTTTTCTCTTCCTACAAGATTGCCTGCACTTCTTTCCATTCCTTGCTGAAGGGATAGTCGATATAACCCTTCTCTGTCTTTGGAATATAGAAGCTATCCCGGTCATAGGAGCTGAATTCAATTCCTTTGGGAAGTCTGAACACCAAGTCTGGGTTACTGATGAAGTATTGTCCAAACACCACCACGATTTCCCTATCATTGTGGTCTTCCAGCAACCTCTTGGCAGTGTTTGAATCATATCTACCAGCAATGAGCAGTGGGCCACGATAGTAGGGAAGTAAAGTGTTGAGAATACCGTAGCCCTTGACATCTGCACTTCCAGAAATGCTCGTTTCCACAAGATGCAGATACGCCAGGCCAAACTTGTTCAGCCTTCGGATGGTATCCGCGAAATGTGGGATTGGGTCTGTCATTTTTATGCCCTGGAACTCAGAAAATGGACTCAGTGGGATACCTGTTTTGTCAGCCCCCACGGCGTCGACAACAGCCTGTGTAACTTCTATCGCAAACCGACTCCTGTTCTCGGCGGAGCCACCGTACTGGTCTGTCCGCTTGTTGCACGTATCTTTTAAAAACTGATCAATAAGGTAACCGTTTGCGGTGTGGATTTCTACGCCGTCAAAACCTGCTGCAATAGCATTGTTGGCGGCTTGTGCGTATTCGTGCACGCTCTGTTCGATCTCTTTGATGGTCATCTCCTTAGGAACTGCGTAACCTTCACGTAACTGAGTTGCGTTGGAACTCTTTACTGTGATGTTGTTTTTCTCCGTGAAGTCTCTATCTGCCACTCTGCCCAAGGCCCAGAGCTGTAGGTAGATGAATCCTCTCTTCTTGTGTACTTTGTTGGTGACCTTCTTCCACGCACTGATTTGGCCTTCGGTGTAGATACCTGGCACGTTTGCGTAGCCTCCAGATTGTTTAGAGACGATTGTTGCTTCCGTGATCAGCAGAGTTCCAGGAACTGACGCGTGTTGGGCATAGTATTGTGTCGCCATGGGAAGGATTTCGTGATCATCAGATGCACAGAAGCGTGTCATGGGGGCCTTAGCGATACGGTTCTTAAGTTCAATCGAGCCAAGTTTCATGGGCTGAAAAAGGCGGGATTCTGACATTGTAGTGTTCTGCGTGCGCTCGTTATGAGAGACCTGAACGCTTACAATAGTCGGATATAGGTAGTTAGGAAGCGTACTATTGATTTTGAAATTTACGCACAGTCCGGGACTCAAAACATTTTATGTGCAGTCTGCATGGTTTGAAACATAGTTAATAGATTCCGGCAGTTGGAGTACGTGATGTTGGGATTGTTCCGTGCTATGACGTGACGTGATTTATCAGCTGGTGCAAGGCCTTATATACCGAGTCCGTGCGCGTGACGCCCACCATCGCGTAACGCCCCGCTTGACTAAATTGTGCATTGTCCAACAGGTGATTGCTCGAGTTGATCTCCCCAGCTTGATAATGTCTCTGTGTTGTTCTCATACGGTCTCTCCTTGATGGCGCCCGCCGGCGGAACCAGCGTGTTTGCCCCTACCGCAACCGCTATGCCGAAGTTGACGAGGCTGTGGCCGCAGTTTGCATCACATGCGTGTCGGCAAACTGCTCGAAACGTTCGATTTTTCCGTTGAGGAGGTGCCACACGTGTGATGCCCTGGCTTCAAAGTACCGGCCTGTCTTGCGATGCGTACCTTGGTAGGTCCCGACTGCGACGATACGCTCGTTTCCGTCTACCAGATACTCGAGCGAAAAGCGAAAAGCGTCCCAATCTCGACTTAGGACACTGAATACGTTGCTCTGAATTTCCGCTCTGCTACGAAACACCCCCGGTGTCGGGAACCCATCGCTTTCCTTCCACACAATGTTGGGTGAAATATCCTTGTAAAAGGCCTCTAAATCGGCGTTGTCGTTTGCGGAGTAAAGGTTTTGAATAATCTCGAGGTTGCTTGAATGGACCATGATATATGGGTTGATATCATGTAGAACGTGAGTGCACCTCTGGAGTTCACTGTAGCTGCCCTTCATCTGTGTTATATGTTCCGAGTTAGAATTTGTCAAATGCACTAGTGCTTACTATAGCATGCTTTGTCAGATGGCAATCAGCCCGCTAGGTAAGCAATGCGTAATTCGAAATTCCCTTCTACGTAAACAACGGAGTGGGATTCGGAGTTAACTTGAGACCACATGTGCACCAACATGGAATTGAAGGTGCTGACATTGTATCTGATTTGACGTCATTTGCTGTGCGAACTGGCCGATGAAGGCCCCCGATGTGGTGTAAGCGAGGCGAGCCTAATCAGGTGCTATTGTATGCTTCCGAATGTCATAAAACCCCAGTCGTACAAAGTCCCGGAGGACACGGAAGGGGAGTCTAGCCCGTGTTCAAGTGACTTTGGTGACACAATGATTTACATGGAACGATGTTTATTGCTTTCAAGGGCTTTGTTAGAGACACCCAATAGATATAGAGTCAGTACAGTACACGTAAGTCGCTTTTGAGCAGCTGCCACGGAATCTCTGACTTGGCTCATGTCTAGCTATCGATTTCCCTTGCTCTTGATCTTCCGAAAGAATTGCCCTTAGTAGTCCAGCATGCTGATATTAGTTTCACCGCCATTGGCGATAAACGACATCCTCAGAAGGCATGCTTTGAAATCCTTCACGTGGCTTCAGCCCGCAATGACTTCATATTACCCAATCATGTGGCGAACGCCAGTCCGGTTCTCTGCGATGTCAGCATTTAGCGTTCCACGTCCCCCATTCCACGTTTAGCTACGCTCAGTGCAATCTCTTGCAGTCCGCTTTTGTAAATGCGAGTAGGAACACTTCAGAATGCTCGGCCGAATACATCCAAGGCAGGGCGGCTATATATACAGCCATGACTGCTGCAAGTATTGTACACGAGTCTGTATTCGACTTGAATTTTCGCAGAAGGCGAATATTAGAAGCTCGCTTCGACAATGCCCGAATTAACGCTATATCGCAAAGATGGCGCTTGTTCCTTCGTTCCACATGCGCTCTTGCGCCACCTTGCTATTCCTTTCAAAGCTATCGTTATGAGAGAGGGCCCGGATGGCTACGAGGCGGCGGACGGTAGCCTCACGCATGCGGAATATCTAAACATCAATCCCCTCGGTTATGTGCCTGTCCTCATCGTTGATGGAGAGGTCATCACGGAAATGCCGGCAATCTTGACAATGATTGCCCATCTAGCCCCAGATCAGGAGGCGGGAAGAGAAATGCTTGGACGAACGCCGCTAGAGAAGGCCAGAGTGGTGGAATGGATGGCTTGGCTATCAGGCTCGCTACACAGTCTCGGGTTTGCGGCGTTTTGGCGCGAATATCGGTTCGTAGAGGAGCACTCGGAATGCTATCCTCCGGTGAAGGAAAAGGGCAGGAAAGTCATCAAGCAATGCTTTGAACGCATCGATAAACGACTAAAAGGTAGAAATTACGCCGTTGGGGATGCCTTCACTGTGGTGGATTTCAACTTGTATCTCTTTTGGAGATGGGGAAATGACATTGGTTTCAATATGAAAGAAAGATTCCCGCACTATGGGTTAGTCTTGCAGAACACGGAGAAGTTGGACAGCATAAGAGGGGCAGTGAGGGAGGAAGGACTCTCTCTGTATGCCTAGTTGTAAAAATGACTAACAACTCAATCGCTATCGACTTCAGTACCAAAGCAAGGAGCATATTCTAGGGAAGTGCTAGAAGTAGAGACATAACTGTTAGATAGTTTGACGCGCTGCGCATGCTTACTGTTCCTTTGGTGCTAGTCTACTTAAGCAATTGAATCGTGGCGATTGAACATTGCACTCTCTGTTGGCTGGTCTTGATAGTTACGATCGTGCGCTTGGTGCGACTGTCTCATCATAACCTGCGCTGGATGCCGAGTATTGTTCATATTGGGAAGAGAGAGAAGAATGTGGTTGAAGGACAAGAGGGATTAAGTGGCTACGGCTGAGGCTACAGTTGTAGCTGCAGCAATGCAGAAACGCAAGCTGACAACTGCTATAATGTACCCGTGTCCGTGCGCGTACTGCGCTTTTAGCGTAATGCGCATCAGAAGCCTTATACAGGCAACCTAAAATTGAAGCTGTAGAGCCACACACAATTCCTATCACAACTAGCTTCGTAGTGGAGTACTCTATAGACCTATGCGACAAACTTTTGCTATACATATCTTGCTGGAAGAGTGATTTTCTGGCTGCAAGTGTTGTATTTTGGTCAAGGAGCCAAGGGCAACTCATGAGAAACCACACCACTTTGAGCAGCTGCATGTTACGATCCATGAACAACTCGCAAAACAACACTGAACAAACAGGACTACGCAACGAGACGAGAGCAGCCAAGGAACTGCAGTATCGATTGACCGAGCTGTGAAGCCGCGTCAGTGATACCCAGTATAATCAACACTCGCAATATCTGTTATACGAACCGAGATTGTACAAAAAGGACTGCAGTGGATACAACGTGGATCTCGTACACAAACAATCGTCACAGACCCATATACCAACCCACTTGCAGAGGACCCACGTCGACAACGATCAATAGGACACCGAGGACCGAGTATCAAGGTCACGTCGACAACGCTCGATTGGACCAAGTATCAAGTCACTGACGATACTTGATATGAGCAGTACAATCAATCCTCCTGTCAAGTATATAAGTAAGTAGACACGCTGCCCTTATGGCATTGTGTTCAACCTCGTCAATCAACTTTGTTATTGGAATCTCACCTGCTCTCGAGCCAGACAGTATACTCTGTACTACTCATTGCAACCAGTCGCCATGGTCTTTGACTAGACGACTACCCCCTGATTATCACAGCGGTTTATCACAGGCAAACCTCTGCCGCTTCGAGCTCGCTCAGTGATAACAAACCCATGACGGCTTTCTGTACCTCTGCTCATCCCCAAGAACCAATTGAATAGTGTCTACGAGCTTTGCTTAAGACACGACTTCAACAGAAGGCTGTAGAATTAGAGACACTGCTCGGTTGTTGACGCAAGGGAATCAACCTGGAGCAGTGTGAGGCGTAGATGAGGGTATGTTTCAGTATAGTGTTCTGTAGGTTTTATCTTTTGTGAAGTATTGCGATCAAATCAAATAGAACTTGACAAATCGCATATAGTTTCATAGCACAAGCCTGCAGGAGAGTCTCCTGCACATAGCGATCTTTTTTGCACAACATTGGTGTTTCCCATTCTCGTAGTGGTTGAGTCTTCTGCCGCCTTCCGGTCATAGAGGCTTTCATTAGTGAGGCCGATGACGTCACGCTTTTTGCTAAATACTCTTCTACAACACCCAATGACTGTCCTTCACATCACGGCAAGGGTAAGTCGAGCATCTAAAGTCACTCAGTAACCACTTTACAGTCGGTATCTGAGCTATGCACGGCTTCCTCGGACGTACAGGTGCTCACTAGTATCAACATTGATGACGTCACCGTTCGCTCATCCATACAACACCACACCATTTTGCCCTACGGCCCATGCACGATCTGACTTCTGTAGCTCAGATCCCAGTAATATCTGGCATAAACGTGTAAAACATGCCCGATGAGTGGAGCACAACGTGTATCTGGCATGTATGGGTCATGACAGCATCAGCGATGTGCCTAACAGATCAGTCCCTGTGTCTCCATACATAAAAGCTTAACGGCACTGGGCAGTTCCACCGGTCTACAACAACATTTTTCCTTCTGGTATTTCCACCTGAAACGTATCTAGATATTCGAGATGCAGCACGTCCTCCAAGCTGGCCTCAGCTCCGGCATGTCCGCCGTCAGCGGCATTCACACCGGTAGCCATGTGAAGCCGAACCCTGTCCGCGAAACCAACCCCAACTTTGACGGCCTTGCCGCTGTCATCCCAGAAAGAGAGGTTCCTTCCGCGCGCAATCTCGTCACCTATAAGGGCAAAAATGGCAATGTCCAAGCACCACCCCTTTGCATCGGCGCATGGCCCTGGGGCGACAAGTCAACCTTTCACTGGGACGACTCTGAGTTTCCTGCTGTTCAGCAAGCATGGCAGCTCTGCGTCAGCCGGGGCGTTAACTTCATCGATACAGCGCAAGTCTACGGCACCGGGGAGTCAGAAGCAATCTGCGGCCGTCTATTCCAAGGAATGAACAGGAATGATTTCGTGATTCAGACGAAGTTCTTCGTCGTTCCACAGCTCAAGGATATCTTGCATCCACAATCTGCACCACTGAAGAAGCTGGAGACCAGTTGCAAGAACCTCGGCGTGGACTATGTCGACATTTACCTTGTCCATGGACCCATCCACGTCCAGTCCATCAGCATGATTGCCAAGGGTATGGCTGAGTGCGTCGAGAAGGGTCTTACCAAATGTGTCGGTGTAGCGAACTACAGCACAGAAGACATGATCAAGTTCGCAGATGAGCTTGCGAAGTACAACGTTCCACTCGCGATCAATCAATGCGAGTTCAGCGTTCTCCGCCGTCAACCTGAACTCTCCGGTCTTCTTCAAGCTTGCAAAGAGCGCGGTATCGTCTTTCAGTCTTACTCGTCTCTCGCACAAGGCCGTTTGAGTGGAAAATACAACGCCCAAAACCAGCCACCGAAGACATACCGCTTCAGCAGCTACGACATGAAGGATGTTGATCCCGTGGTTTCCGTGTTGCAACAGATCGGCGAGAAGCATGGTGTGAAGCCGGGCGCTGTAGCGCTTAACTACAACCTCTGCAAGGGCATCACACCAGTGGTGGGCATCAGGAAGTTGGAGCAGGCAAAAGAAAACTGTAGTAGTTTGGAGTGGAGATTGACGAATGACGAGATCAGGGAGATTGATGGGGCGAGTTTCGAGGGGCATACTACGCAGATGTGGCAGCAGGGGTAAACCGAGATAGAGCAAAGTATATAGTACAATTAAATGTCCTTTTAGTCTAGTCCTCTGGACCTAAGTCAACTCTAGTGGAAAGAGAAGTACACCTCACTACAAATCCTTGTTCACACCGTCTGCTTAGCGGTTCAGGTACGTCGCCACGACAGTTTCTACATTGATCAGATTCAGTGTCGGGAAGATGCAAAGGTAATGTCGTCTGGAAACTCACATGATCCATTCACATTGCCCATATTAGTACTAGGATCTGTCGCAGAGCCTCGATATCCTGAAATGCAGTTAGTAGTTGTGCCGCGCACCTTGGCTGTGAGATATTTACCATATCCTTGCCATCTTTCTTGTTCCAATGAATCATGAAGCCGATTGCGACACCAGCTCTCATGAGGCCTGCGATATGCAATGGTCATCACAGGATATCGGTGATCGTCAAAATGTGCTGACCCCCCCCCATGGATCAACATCAACTGTCAACCATGCAAGGAGGAACACAAGCACTCTGACAGGTCAGAATACCTGATCTATAGGGGAAGCGAGGATGCTATATACTCCGCTAGATACCCGGTACCAGAGACCCCAAGACCCTGATCCACTCCTTCACAGCCACTCACAGATGCCACGGATCAGTGTTGACATCACAGACGTCATCAGCCTCATCATCTAGATTGCCAACCTAGGGCTTAAGTGTGCCTCTACCACACTGGTCCTGTCATCCACCCTTCATCAGCCAGTCAAGATCAAGCCTTCTACGGGTACCTGCATGAAGGTTTGCAAGCGTGCCAAAGGACAGGGGGTCAACACATTTCGACGATCACTATAGACTCCGGTCAAATGACACAGCACTTACAAGACCGCCAGGACCCCGAAGAACAACATGGCCCGCTGTAGCACCAACGGTTCCTATCGCACCAACACTTTCCCACAAGGCCATCTTCTCCTCGAGCTCGTCGATTTCCGACTGAAGCGTTGCGTTAGCCTTGCCTAGGTCATCCATTTCTTTGTCGTGCTTACTTTCCTCACCCTTAGCCCTGCGCTGAACGATCCAGTGCAGACACCAAAATCGGTCTGCCGATTTGTGAAAGAGGGTTGGATCTGAGCCGTGTCTTGTTCGAATTGTTTCGCCTCACTGCTTAAATTTAACCATGTACCTTGATGTACTCGTTGAGGTACTCCTTTTTCTTTTCATATGGAATACGGGGCTCAAGGACAACTCGGAGAATTCTCCTTCAAGCCCTACAGGAGATGATCAGCGTATTCTGTTTGTGACCAATGTCTCAGAACTGTAGTCTACGGGCTGCATACTTGCCCATGGACATGTTGAGCTTTGAACTCTTACGCAGGGTATCTGTGTGGATCTGCAGAATTTTAGTGATATCCCAGACGCGTTGTAGACACTTGGACATAACTTCTGGAGCTCTTTAAATCGTGGCACGAATCTGAGCTCGCCAAGATTCTTGCTATCAATCCCGCTGAGTCTGACGGCCAAGTTGTTGCACATTGTGATCATCAGCTGACAAGTTTTAGCCGCTTCGTCAGCATTGGGTTAAAATCGTCTTTTGGCTTATTCGCTCTTGAGATATTTGTTCAGCCTCTTGTCGAACGCTTTCCAATCCAGTCCTTCCATAAACGTATGGGGATCGACCTCAACAATTGCCAGAGCTTGGGCCTCCGTGACCGAAAGATTTGAAACGACATGGAAAATTTCTGGGGCGTAGGACTGGCACCAAGGCGTTCTCTAGCCAGATCAACGACTGATCTTAGCTTGGTGGTGGTGTTTCCATGTCGGCCATTTTGCAGGAAATTTCAGAAGGATGATCGCAAAGGATAGTCAGATAGTGAGATAACGTCGTGAGATTCCTTGTGTTATATGAATATACAATGACCGTGCGAAGAGGTCCCCTTGATAATCGGTTCAATATCGACGCTAACATCACTGAGCTGAGTCTGGCCTCAACAGACTATACGGCTGAGTGCAGGCGGGTTGCCCTCTCTCAATGAGCCGGAGACTGCCTGGATCACTTGAAGGCATCATATGAGCAATATCGACACAAGAGTGAGGACACGGAAGCCTTCAGCCGCTATATCAAAGATGTCTCAACTGTGAACTTCGACGCAACCAATCGTATCGGGTGCGCCGAGAACCAAGATGGTGTCAGTTTGCTCGACGCTTCTTAGTCCGGAGCGCTTGCATAGATTCAGGTCGTTCGATAGTCGTAGTATTATACCACCCGGGGCTGCGTGGATTTTGTAGGAAAAGGCATTAAACATGTGGCGGCATAGGCCGCTGTAGTACACTGATAGCTACGGTAAACGGCAACGTAGGACTCTCGGGTTGGTGGAATACTGCGCTGAGTTGCTATCTAGCTAGGAGAACACAACTACAAAACTGACCTGTAACACACTAGACTAGTCTGCCAGGGGTATAGTCAGACCTTGTACGGACCAATCGATACCGCAACAACAAAATATATTCGCTCAGCACATTACTGACATACTTCGCGGAAGCTGCAAGATGGAGCGCTTTGCTATCTTGAGAGATGCCACTAGCTTGCGCATTAGCTGCTTGTCGGCGGTCTGTTCGGTGAAGCTCGGCCGCAGCGATCGTCATCGCGGAAAAGTCGTGGCAGCCTGGTGTTGGCGTTGGTGCTTCAGTCTACCACCGGACATTCAAAAGTCTTCGCCCACCTGCTAGCGTCAGCACTAACCCCACTTTGACCGCACCAATACACCAGAACAGTGAATTGCACACCACAACCACGCACCCAAATCTTAACCAAAACACTTGCTGTTGACATGAAAGGACACCCAGAGCTCTCCCTTCAAAAGCGTACCTTGCTTGTGGGGGTACAGGCTTCAGTTGGGGGGGTCTTGGAACCAGATTGTGAAGAAGCTTCAGGAGCCACGATCAACCATCAGAAGCTCCTATGCAGCCATACTACGCCGCGCAGAAGGAGTAGAAACTCTTAACGCAATGCTTGCTTGTATAGATCACTCTCCCAGATCCGGTCGGCCTTGTATAGCTGAGCCTGGAAGCGCTGAAAGTATTCAAGTACGCAATGACGTACTTCACTGGAGATCATTTGAATGAGCTGAAGCTGCCAACCATACCCGCCCCGATAATGATCAGCTGAAGCCGGACAAAACAAGGAGAATCCTGATGGATAAGAAGCATGTCAACGCTGGTAATGTTCACCCAAAGAAGCGCATCAAAAGCAACAAAAGACCATGGAAGGATAAGCTTAACAAGGAGCATAAGAGGGAGCATACATTGGAGCATATGGTTCAACATGAGATCATTCAAGAGGAGCCTGTTGAGCACAACATTATGATTATTGTTGTAGATGAGTACTGTGTAGGCTTTGGTGGTGCCCAGTTGGAGCGTGTGAGCATGTTGGAGGGTGAAGATTCATATGAAGTTGCTCAAGAAGTATCTCCTGAACGCTTTAGCCTCATGCAATGGGGCGTTGCTTGTGGTCAAGATGAGCACTACTTTGATCGTATTCAGCACATCTGGGAGCCAGAAGATGAGCAGTTATCTCACGAGCTTGTTGCCAAACTTGAAGCTACACACAAGAAGTTGAAAGAAAAAGCTCGTCAACAACAGCGCAACGCTCTCATCCCAGGAACTGCTGAGTTCCACCATCTTCAGCGAGTCAATCAGAAGATCAAAGATGACAACGCTAAGCTTCTGCATGGTGTAAGGAAGGGAAGGCAACAGCGCAGAACTTCTAAGCAACTGTTCAAAGAGAAGGACTTCAAGGTGACAAGAAAGGGTGGCCTTGATCATGTTCGGTACACCTTTGAGATCTATGAGAAGGAGCTCATCCCTTACTACCTAAGGCTCAAGAATACGCACCCCGGCAAGACAATCTACATCTCTGAAGATGGTGCAACTCCTCATATGAAAGCAAGAGAGTTGATAACTTCAGAGCTTGAAGAAGCTGGTGTACTCTTCTTTGACTGGCCATCAAAGTCTCCTAATCTCCATGCCATTGAAGACATCCAGAATCACCACAAGAAACTCCTTAAGAAGCTTCGATTTGAGACTAACAGTGCGTCAAAAGCAGCCAAAGATAAGGCTAAGGTTAAGATGAGAAGTATTTGGCAATGAGATCCTCACTTTTATGATGTTGTTCAACGGGTGGGTTCTGTAGCCAACTATATGGCACTTGCACAGAAAGCACGCTCACATGGGGGCAATAACAACTTCAAGGCATGATTCAGTAATATCAAAAACAAGTTTGCAATACTCAGTATACTCTATTTACAAGTGTTGTGGTTGAATTCAAAAGTATGTCGTGTTGAATGCAAGATGCCATTTTGGGATTATGGCCCTTGCAGGTGGGCGAAGACTTTTGAGTGTCCTGTGGTACAAACATGTGGGAGCGGGGCTACGCTAGTGGTTTTAATGTGACGCCGAGTAGGTGCCAGCCACGTGCCGGCTACTTTCGCCCTCACCTTCAATCGCATATTTGCCCGTGCTCAGTGTTAAACTATCTTGCGACGCGCGCGCATGCGGCGCAACAAATCATAAGGTTGCGGCGGGGAAGGAATGAAGGTGTGATTGATATATGCATTGTGCATCGGGTGTGCGCATGCCGAAGCTGCGGTGTAGATCGGTGGAGTAGGTGTGGTGGAGATGGCGGTGGAGTCGAACATCGCAGGAACGCAGGCCTGCTGAGAGATGGACCCCGCGCGCACCTTGGAAATCTTAACTCGACACGGTGCATACCCACATCGAGTTAAAGGCTCAGTAGATTGCCAGTCGTCGTCTTTGTCGAGTGTGTGTAGTTTGTAGTCATCAAAAGTGAAGGAATTGCCTTTCCTGGAATTGGTATGCTCAAGCCCAGGAGGTGTCATAATTCGTATTCGTGTATCGTGTGTGTTTTCATTCGTTGAAACGCCAACGACAAGGCTCGTGCTCATGCTCGTGCTCATAACGCTCATCATCATCAGTCGTAAACATTCAAGAATCAAAAATTGCCCCATACGCTGGGATGCCCCTCCTCTCCATATCAAACACAATTTGCTGTGTGAAGCGCTTGTTGCTGATGACCAGCACCGCTTCTGCCCCACTCTCTTTGTAAAGTCTATACGTCAGAAGACTCATATTAGGTTTGCCTGACTCTCGTGTATTATAGATGATCGCATTTGGGTCTCGTCTCCGCACGTCCTCAACGATGGACTTGCCGAACGTCTTTTCGTGATTTGGTGCTGTCCAGAGGATGTGCATAGCGATTTGTTGGTAGGGGAAAATGGAAAGGCATGGCCCGATGCCAGACCCAGTTGCTACCACGACCACACTCTTGAACAGAGTAGCAATGCGTAGGACACCGCAAGTGGGGATGCCACGCCTCCAAATATGTGTTGGCGCAGTGTCGATGCAGCGGCCAGTGAAGTCGCCAGCTCGGCTGACAATGACCGAGTATCCTTTTCCGTTGCTGTTTAGGTTGTTTCCGAGCCCATTAGTAATGGTCGCAAACCCATGCCAATCGCGAAGTGGTCGCTCGGCGAGACGGACACCCTGACCCGGCGCGACCTCGGAGTCGAAGTGTAAGCGGATAGCGTGGGAGGAGAGTACTTCTGAACGGACAGGAACGCGGCGAAGAAACAACCAGGGGAAGATGATTGCAAGTGTGGCAGCTGCAATCAACCAGATTGAGGCATTATGCAGATAGGCCTCCGAGATCGACATGCCTGAGTCCCGGCTCAGGTCTTTAGTGGAAAGTCCAACGAGTACCCAATAAAGACCGAGCACCGTCCAGCCACCAAAGCGGTGCAAGTTCTCCCACAAATCGTGGTACTTGTTGCGAAGAAATGGATGTGATAGCGCGGTTATTGAAAGAAGCAGCGAAAGAATCAAGTAGGTCAAAATCGTTGGCGCAAGCGAGATAGCTCGCGCACTGGCGTCTTTGGCGAGATCGATGCTTGCTCCAATGGCGAAAATGATGAACCAGATCACTGCGGCGATGGCGCAACCGACGTGGATTCCGCCAATGTGGTAGACATTTGCGCAGATTCGACGTATTGCCAACGGCATCCAGGTGGGTACTGAAGAGAATACAGTGAAGAGCAGATTGATTACTGGCTCTGAGCGGATCAAGATAGAAGCGCAGAGGTTTGCGGCTGTGGCCGTTGCAACGTAAGAGAGCGGATAGTGATGGTCTCTGATGCCTCGGCTCAGTATCCAGCACGCAACTCCGATGTTGACAGCGACAATTGGGATCAGGAACCAACGGTAAGCGATAAGTCCACGGTGTCGTAGCCAGTGTCCAGTTGGGGAGCCTTTGGGTTCGGGGAGGACGGCGAGTATATCGTCTGGGTTTGTGCATGCAGACGAAGAACTCAAATGGGAAGTCTTGAAACGGACACCTTTCTCGAGATCGATGCCCTGATAGGAAGTTCGCGACAACTCTTTGGTGATGGCAGGAAGAGGATTCACAGTTTCTCTGGTAGCGACCATATCATCGAAAGCTGAATCCACTCTCTGGTGGGTTGGTGCGGTGGGCTTGACCTTGGGCGCAGGTATGCTGAGCTCAGCCGCGACCGCCTTGAGCAGCGCTTTGTCGACTTTACCGTTGGGGTTCAAGGGTATGCTATCAACTCGAATCCAGCGCTCAGGTACCGAATAGTATGGCAGATGCTTCCGGACAAAGGTGTCGAGCTCCTGCTCGTCCATAGGTGTGGAGGATGTGTAGAAGCCGTGGAGAATGCCATCGATCACAAGCGATGTGGCTTGCGTAACACCATTGAACTGCTCGAGTACAGCAGTGACACCATCCAGCTCGACTCGGAAGCCCTTGATCTTGACCTGATCATCCATTCGGCCAAACGAATCCAGAGATCCGTCAGCTCTCCAGCATACGATGTTGCCAAAATTGTACATGGTGGTGCCATCGTTGGCAAATTTGTCGGGTTGAAATTTCTCAGCACTTGTGAGAGGGAGATTGATGTAGCCTTTCGACACGCCCTTGCCACCAACCCAAAGAGTGCCCCTCTGGCCAACCGGGACAGGCTCCCCAGCCTCATCGAGAATATAACATGTTGTGTTCGGTAGAGGTCGTCCGATACATAATGGCTCGCCAATGATGTGTTTGTGTGCAGAGAAGAGGAACACTTCGGTCGAGCCGAGTAGGTTGTAGAAACATCGGTCCTGGGCCCAATCATCGGCGAGGCTGCAGTTCGAGTCAGCGCTAGAAACAACGGTAATAACGGGATCACGAGATCACTCACGACTGTGGACACGTTTCGCCTGCGACAACGACTGTTTTGATGTTCGGGTAGCTCTGCTGCTGGTATTTTGATAGGATGGAAGGCGTGCAGATTAGGGTATCGATCTGGATGACTGATCAGTTGAACCATCCTAACTGGGAAAGATGATCGAAACTAACCTGTTCTAAGGTGGCGCTCCAATCAGATCCTCTGAGGTATAGGGTGCCTCCGTTGATTAGAGAACCGAGCGTTTCCCAGGCACCTTGACAATGATTTAGTCATGCATTTGCCTGAAAAGTTGCTCGCTTACCCATGGCAAAAGATATGCTCAACACTTGCGCAACCTTAGAGCCGACAGTGATCCGTAATCGCCCTGGCTCCAGAAGTAGGGCGTTAGTCATGGTGCCATGCTTGACGTCTACACCCTTCGGCACACCAGTACTCCCTGCAAGGTTGGTCAGTTGACGTAACGGATTGCAGCAACGGGTGACTCACCTGACGTGTACATAGCATAGATGCCATCATTGGGAGAGACCTTGATGTAGGGTCTGAGAGGGGAATAGAAAGCTCCTGTGTCCATGCCCAACTCAAGTACAATCGCATCTCGGCGTGCAAATTGCCTAACTTTATCCCAATACTTGGGCAGACATAAAATGAAACGAGCCTCTGTGTCCTCGAAGATGTGTTGCAGTGCCTGATCCGAGGCAACTCCACCATCGATTGGAACGTACTGACACCCGGCCTTGAGGATGGCAAGAAGGCCAATGAGCATCTCCAAGGATCGTTGAACCACAAGGCATACTCGTTGCTTTGGCCGAAGACCTGAGTTGATGAGATGATGTGCAAGGCGGTTAGCCGCGAGGTCTAGCTGGTGATATGTGATCTTTCGGTGACCATGTATGGCGGCGACGACTGCGGGGTATGCATCCACGATGCTCTCAAAAGCTTCGTGTACAGTGTTGTGGGGTACGGGAAGCCTCAACCCACGTCCGAATCGAGATACCAGAGCTTGATCTTCCACCGACAAACCGGACACGTTACTGAACTGGACTTTCTCCTCCATGACGTCGAGGCAAGGCTAAAAGAAAATGACAAGACGACGAAAGCGTAGAAGAACGCCATGTGTCGTGACAACTGCATCTTTATACAGCTTGCGGGTCATATGCAGACGCTTGACTTTTGATAGTAGTCCCATCGTAGTATGCTGCATGGCAAGGATTCTGCATCCACTGCTGCTACGCCACTTCGTGTGACAAACCGACCGAGTCTTCTCCAATGCACAATTGGCCCGCCTTACTGTTTGATTGACCAGTAAACTACAGACGGACGACTGGGAGGGCCCGGTAGTGGGAATGCAGTAGTCTGGAAGTGGCGGTAGGTAAACGGGACATGGCTGACCGTCTAGCCTCATGTCTGAATTCCGTTGTAAAGCCCACTCTGTTAGAGCAAGGTCTGCCGGAAGAAATGCTGATCGGGGTTGACACATGATCTTGTGATGATGGACCGACATGAGTCGTTGCGAGGTGCAGTACTGTCCACTCCAATAGTCATCTGCATTCCAGATGGTGTCCGCATTGGTGAAAATCTAGAAATGATGGGGTGACAATGCAGATGGGTCGCCGATTACGAAAGTGGTAGTCGAACTAGAGCATTGCGGAATGCCTGATCACAGTATTCAAGACCGAAGACCAAGTCGAGGTCTCCGGTAGCCACCAATCGTACAGAACTAATTGACTCGGTTGGCTAAAACATCGTACTGCCCAGCATAGCAAGACTAGCTAGCCGTGGCATCTTGCAAGAGTACGGAACATATGTTGGTGACGTTAGGCGGAAAAGGTGCATTCGGCCTCCAAACAACGCTGGCGTAACCGGGACGGTGGATAGCTATCGATCGTAGCATGGCGGTCGAGGACCCACTGTATTTCTATGCATATGCATGTGAAAGGGACATGCTCGCTGAATGCCTGAAGGCTTGATGAGTGGGTCACATATAAATGTCAGAACGGTTGGGGCTTTGCTGACAGGTACCGTTTTCCACGAGTCCCTCGACCATGATGTCTTGAAGCTGGGATTCACCAAGCTGATTCCGCTGGAAGCCCGCAACCAGGCCGTCCCTGCTTCCATCGCGTACCATACGGACTGTGCCGCATGCACGGACAGTGGGGCAGCTCTGGAGTGAGCCCTAATTGCATCTAGTTGTTGCTTGGCGGCCACGAATTGTGCCTTTTTGAGAATGCGTGGAGCATGCAAACGAGTCTTGGACAGGACGACATGCAGGATTGGAGCCACAGCAACGCAAGGCTGCTGTGCGCTGAGTCGTCGAGTCGCGCATGATCGCAGTAGTTAGTTTGCTTGCAGGCGCAGACTAGCAAGCGAAGCGCACGTACGCATCCTTGATACCCACCTCAACCCCGCCTCGCGAACGCCGACCACTCGATCTTTGCACATCAATCGGTTCCTGCTGTCTCGTATAAGCCAGGATCCCCGCAGATGTCTTGATCTCATCTGCAATTCATGCTGGTGTCTTTGTCCGTGACCAGGACGCGCAAGATTTTGCATCAATTCGGATCGGGAATTGTATAGCAAAAGGACCGTGGCTTTACGTCCTTCAAAAGCGCCATTTCATTGTCCCAAATGGCATGAGCACTAGGTTACTCTAGCGCGGAAAGTGGCTGGAGGATTTGACCGAGGACGGCAAGACTCTGCTGTGTTGTTGATGCAGGTCGGGTACGAGGTTAGAGTTATCGACAAGTCGTCTCTCTTTTTACCGTCCTGGACCGAGCCACAGGCGCGAGTGAAATGGCGCGCGTCGGTGTCCTTAGTAGCGTAGGCTAGCGGCCCCAAAGGCTGCAAAGTTGACCGCCTCTGCTTCCGAGTCTACGGTCGAATTGTCTGCGCTGCCCTGCAGAAAGTTTGCGCAAACACATGTGCCGAGGTGGACCAGTTTGAGAAGCCACGTGTGAAGTGTTGTCAAGAGACGCCAACACAGGTCGCATACGCAACGCAGGTACATGCCCAGGGCTGTCCCGCTTCTGGTCACCTTGACCTGACATCTGTTCCATCCTCCGACAGCCTTAAAGGAAAAAGAAACAACGGGAACAAAGGAAATGAGATGGATGATGTAACCCTTGTTGTCGATTCCTGGCAACTACAAGACTGACGGCTGTGGTGAATCTCAGCAATACTGACAGCAGCTGAGGCAGCTGCGGGGATACGCGTCTGCGATGTTCGAGACAGCCACACTTATTCGCCTTGTCGTGACACGAGAGTCTCTTTGCAGAAGGGCGCAGCATAGACGTCAGAAGGTGTGTATAACTAAATCGCTGACAGGTGAAGAGATAACGATGCTGTTTGTTGATGTCGTGAGGAGGCTGTATCGTGATGTCTTTGTGTGACTGGAGCTATCATCAACCCAATAATCGATGTCAGTTACCTCGAGCGCACCGCCCTGCTTTGTTGAGCTCAGCATCACCCTTCAACGTTCTTGCCTACTGACGGGACGCACATCATGCCGCTGTGGTCGAAAAATCAAGAGACATCAAACAAATACACCTAGCTTCAGTCACGGATGCCACAACCCACTCCAGGTGATCCTCCACGAATCGCAGACTTCTACTATAGGTGACACCTAACGAATACAAGCCAACACCACAACATCGAAGGACGACGCATGTCGCCATTCTGGAATTGGAAGGACGATCCTTGAAGACGGACAATGTGCTCGACACCGATACGCGAACAAGATTTCCATCTAGTTCCTTGCATCTGGGATCCCTGATGGCTGCGGCACAGTTGAAGGATCTTGAAGGATTCCAGGCTAACCCACGATTGCGCTCTCCACCGTCTGGTCTAACTAATCGGCAGGGAACAACACAGATAGCAATACAATAATGGACCATAGCCTCCGACCTACACTACTCACGCAGGCACAGATACCTTCATTGAAAAATTGTCGACGAACAAAATCTTAAGAGCCTGGCCTTTACATGAGAGTAGATGTGACCGTTTATGGAGTATGGAGGTCACGTGTGCCACATGTGTTAGTGCGGTGCTCTTGCTCGTTCTAACAAGCACCTTCTCCCTTGGCTGCACAGAAGATACATCATGAAACAGACCCTGCTAATGATCCGGTAAGGAACGATCATAGAACCATACAAGAACACAATATACTGATTTTACTGCTTTGCACGGTTCCACCCTGACTCACTGCCCTGCGCGGTTACACCTTCATTTATTTCATCTACTATAACAGTAGAGATACGGGTAGGTGAACGGACACACGTAGATCAGTGGTCTCATGTGCATTAGTCGTTTGGAATACGTGTCGAAGGGAGGTTCATGCCTCAGGTCTTGTGATTTATTGCCATTAATACATGTGGCGGCGTGGGCCGCTAAAGAATACGATGGAATACTGCGCTAAGTTGCTACCTAGCTAAGGGAAGACAATATATTCCTGTCCTGAGACATGCTAGTCTAGAATAGTCTGAGTAGTAGCAGTTCGGCCTCGTACAAACCGACTGATACCGCAACAATTCAGATAAGAGAATCCTGTTAAGCCCATTCTTTCGCTGTCTGCCTACTGTTTCCCAATGATGTTGCCCTGGTGCTCTGTCTGGGTGGCTACGTTGACTCTAGACTAGTGAAGACAGTTATGCGGGCCTTGAATTTTTCCAGCCCATACTCTTGGACTAAATTCTTCATTGGCCTCTCCTGCGTCAGCAACTCTAGAGCTTGTTACTTCTTGGCAAACACCCGAATCATGTCTGTGTGCACTTCGATGGCGCTCCTTCGCTCATAGATCCAATTTTCGCGTCTTGCACCCAGCGTTGGTGTTCCTACAACCGTCCTCCACAGATGCATGGCTTCTAAGCCCACCGGATCGCATTGAACACAACAATTTGTATTCTAGGTGCTTGAACACCAAGCTGCGACAGTGGAATACCGTCTGGAGTGAGATAGCGAGACCTATTGTCATAGCTACATTTGGGAAGTGTGAGTGTAGCACGTGCTGTATGGCTCCAAATCAAAGAGTATTTGAAGGCTTTTCGGTACGTTTGCGAATGTTGAAACGGGACGGAGATATCTTTCTTGCCGTATAGCGAAGAAGCCGCCGCTCGAGTCTGACGACAGACGTGCAGGAAAGAGAAAAACGACTGCGCTCGGATTGGAGGTCTTGAAATAGGTGCTGTGTTGATGGGGTGACTGAAGATGATGTCTCGAATCTGTAAGATGATATCAGCTGAAAGTCCAGTTGACAGAGTGATCTGAAGGTCACTGGCGTACTTCCTGAACGATGAAGAAGACCCACCTTAGAGGGCTGGGGTGTCGCATAGTAACACTCGCTGAGCGCAGACCCCTCGATCTGGATGTTCTCTGGTCTAGCACAAGGTTAGTTGTGATGGTCGTGTTTTGGTGTTAGAATCCCGAGCCGATTACACCATGCTTGAAGAGCTGTCAGCGAAGGGAGTCGAGTTTGGTTGAGGTGAGTGAATGTGTCATAGTTGCAAGCGAGATTGTAACAATTTATGCTCTCGGCTAGAGCTACTCTGTTGCGGTATATGTATGGACCCACAGGCCCTGACCCACACGGCAGTGGCTATACTGGGTTAGCACGTTACTGGGCATGTATATATCGTCGTCTCCTAGCTAGATAGCAATCCAGCGCAGTATTCCATCGACCCGATAGTCCTACGTTATCGTTTACCGTAGCTATTAGTATTCTACAGCGGTTCACACCGCTACATACTCCAGTACGAGTTAGGATAACTCATGTACGGCTATCTATATATGTTGTAGCGGTGTGAACCGCTGTAGAATACTGATAGCTACGGTAAACGATAACGTAGGACTATCGGGTCGATGGAATACTGCGCTGGATTGCTATCTAGCTAGGAGGAGACGACTATATACCTGACCTGTAACACACTAGTCCAGGGTAGTGGTCAGGGGTATAGTCAGACACTGTACGGACCAACCGATACCGCAACATGTGTAGCTCAGCCTACCCCAGATAGCCAATTCAGAACAGTCCTTCTCCTCTCCTCACACTGTTACAGAGATAAGGGTTATGTATCCCTAAGCTTGGACTCCGTAGGGGCCTGCGGCCAGCTGGTAAAAGAGGGTGCATTCAGATTAAACACCGGGGCTGTGCTAACACATAGAATTCTCCCAGTACCGGTTTCTAGAGGTGAAGCGTTTAGCCACTTCGCATCTACACTGCTCTTTGAGATGAAGTCAGCGGGGGCGTGATATTATGGGGCTCTTCGATTGTAATGTCAGCCGCGGACATAGGCAGTCTCTCTATCCTTGCACACTACTAACAATACTGTTGCCTTTCTTGACAAATCCTGTGCCACATACCCTACATCCATGTTAAGACCGCTTGGGAAAGCTGAGAGAAGCTCGGGTGTGGCTGAAGAAGCAATTAAATGTAGCCCGAAGCTAAGTTTGGTCGACCTGAGAGTAGAAGAAACTGTGATAGGGTTGACACATCGTTGAGAATCTCTTCAATATCTCGACAGTGGACCCCGGAACCTTTTCATTTTGGTCGCTTTCTTTATCTAAGGTAGCACGTAGCCTCCGTCGATTAGGTAGTCACTACCTGTAACGTAAGAACTTGCGTTCGATGCGAGGAACAGAAATACGCCCTTGATCTCCCTCGTATCGCCCTGTCGCCCCAAAGGAATCATGCGCAGACCCTCTGTGATAACCTTCGGGCCAGCGCCCATCTTGGTGTCGAAGAAACCCGGGCTCACAATGTTGACACGCGCGAAATCCCTCCACTCACGCGCCAGTGACTTGCCCATGTGCGTAATGAAAGCCTTGGAGCCGTTGTAGATCGGCTGATCGACAGGCACGTTGACGATGTGACTCGAGATCGATCCAGTAAGAATCAGGTTGCCGAACCCTTGCTGCCTGAAGATCTGACCAGCATACTTGGCGCAGTAGACAGGTCCATCCACGTTCACGGCCATCAAGTTGCGGTATGCGTCCAGAGACTGCTCCAGGAGGGGTTGCGAATCGCCAGTTCCTGCATTAGCGATGAAGACGTCGACCTTGCCGAACTCTGCAACGACTTTGTCGAGGTTGGACTTGACAGCTTCTGGGTCTGTGACGTTGACGCTGTATGCTTTTGTCTTGACGTTGTGCTCTTTTGCGAGGCGCTCTGCGCGCTTCTCTGCCTCGGGGTTTCTGGGCGTGTCAGCATCCATGATGAAGACAATAGAGGTGAGGGAATACTTACGAGTTGTACCACAGCGCAACGTCTCCCCCAGCTTCAGCCATTGCATCAGCGACGGCCCCGCCAATGCCTTCTGCAGCTCCAGTGACAACGACGACCTTGCCCTTCATGCTGAATTGCTCCAGGACATTTGTCGGGCCAGACGGTACTGGCCTAGGGAAGCCGGGGCGCGGTGTTTGGCATTCTTCAATTGACATAGACATCTTTGCGGTATTGGTTCGTATTTACTAAGTTTCGGGAAACTAGAGTGCTTGAATCGTAGCGAAGAGCAGCAATGGGCTGTTATGTACCCTGAATGCTCAAGAATGGAATAGAAAGTGTAGCGAGCTCGGATGTCCGAAGTCATAAGACATTGAGGGTCTTAAGGCACGTTGCCCGCCCCGCGGGTCGGCGACGTCACCGACACGATGTTTTCTTGGTGTTGCGGGTGTCTGTCGTCCGACGACGGGGCGAGTGCCGTTTTAAGGGTTGAGGTGGGGTGGCGTGGGGTTGGCGGATGCTCGGCAAACCTTCCTCTTCACTTCCATCAAAAGGAGGCCTCTCATGCTGGACATCGTTGAGGGACCTCTTTGAGATTCTGACTGTGGTGCTGAAACGCTCAAAACATCCTGTGCCGCTTCCGTCACGTACAACGTCGAAAGCGCGATCGAGCAGGCGCGCCTTTGTTACACGAGACAGTATGTCGCACCCGGAAAAGTCATTACGCGCCTGCTATGGCTCTACAGACCTTTACAACTATGAGGGAATGTTGCCTGTGTACCATGTGTGGGTCTTATTGAATGGATCGCATCCATTTTCTAAATCTTTCAGTTACCTCATTCGTCGATAGCTACCTCCATTCTTCCTTCCCTTGCAGTTGTGGCACGCTCTTCCTATGTATGCACCTTCTTATTTCCTTCCTCCCTTCCTCCCTCCTTCACAAAAACGTAATCTATAGACTCTCAGCGGTTTACCTGCTAATGCACAATAGCCAATTAGCTTTCCCGCGCTTCGTCATGCTGTCTAAACACAACCTATGCTCCGTCATTTCGTTCATCAGTTTTGCAGCAACCACTTCCTACAACTTTCCATGGGTTCTACCAGCTTTGAGTTTAGCGAACGCCTCGGAAGCGGCGCTGAACTCGTGAACTGAGTCAACAACTGCACAGATTTTCCCTTTTTCTACCCATGCCGCGAGCTGATTGAAGTAGGCTCGGTTCGGTTTTGTTACGGCGAATGTGTATGTATCTTTACCACCTCCAATAAAACCAGGAAGCATCATAATACCAACGAGCTGTCGCAGAGCACTAAGTTCATCCTCAAACCGACCTGGATGAAAGTCCCGCTCGACGCAAGAAACCTATGCGACGTTCGGTACAAATTAGACGGGTCCCGACATTAGCGAGAATAAGGTGGGAAGAACTCCTCTGCCCATTCAGCTGCTTCATGATATCGGCTTCTTTTTGATCCAAGGCCTCGTCCGCGCCCGTGCTCTTGCACAAGTCAACATTCGCGGTGGAACAAGACGTCGCAACATGACAGCCCAGCACTTCCGCAATCTGGATTTCCAGAACACCAGTACCCTCAGACCCTCCATTGATGAAAATTTTGTCTCCTGCTTTGACGTACGGTCTAATAGCTTGCAGCGTTGTTGTCTAAATAGTAGCTATCGCGGCCAAGTCTTCAGACTTCACGCCTTCAGGTGCTAATACGAGGATGTCTTGCGAGACTTGAACGTATTGGGCAAGTGCACCATGACCAAAGACACCATTGCAAGAGCCGAAAATGATGTCGCCAATCTGGAACGGATTGGCTTTATAGCCAACCCCTACGATGCTACCGCTGATGTCCAAGCCTGGCGTGACTGGCGATCGGAAGATAGTGTTGCGAATGGAACCGAGCTCCAGGATTTTGTCATTAATAGGGTTGACAGTCATGCTGTAGACTTAGAAATACTGTCGGGGTGAGGATCGTGAGTGATCAGTACGCATGTGCGGAAATATTGAAGAATTGAACTGAGGTTGTATTGGGTGAAGCTACGAACAGTATGTATATGTGAGTACCTGTAAACAACGCCAGTGTGGTGTGGCAGTCGCTTTCATGGCAGGTGAGGTTCGACAGGCAGGAGCACCCTCAACCGTGATAAATACCGACAATTCAATGCTTTCAAGGTCGCCATAATGTTAATGCTGAGAAAGCTGAGGCAGGTTTGGTATCAAGATCCGTTGCCAAATTTCAAAGCCTGGATGCACTTTTATTGATGCCTACTATAGGTATGAAATAACTTGGCGATACCATGGTAATGATTAGACGTCGGAGTCAACTTGATCGACATTTGTAAGTTTCGATAGGCAACGGAGGGCGAGCGAATCTTTGCGATTGACGACAGGCCTTCATAGTAGGGCCTTTTATCGTATATTGGGCTTTACAAACCCGCAGCGCCACTAACCCCATCCAAGTACTCCGAGCTTTTTTGGTCACGCTAATGAGACCGAGTACGAGTGCATGCAGCACCTGTACGGTCCTGAAGATAGATATCCTGTCGCTACCCAAGTGTTTACTCGAAGCTGTTCAGGAACCTGCAAACGAAAATGAGCTTATCTCCAATTGGATGAGTATCATCATGAAAGTTTCCTACAGTCAGCGCCAGCTTCATCGGGAAGCATTGCCTTGACTATCTGCTTGAACATGGGTTCGCCAACCCTCCTACTGAAATTGATTCTCACTGACCCATCCCAGTGATACAGTCACGACCACGGTACGCAGCACCGCCAAAGGAAGCGAAGCCTGGAAGATTACCCCGAATCTACGCACAACCTCTCATACCCTGTTGTTTCAGACATGACTCTCCCAGGAGCCTTCAACAACGTTGTCTAAACCTCATACTTCGATGCCGTCATCCACATGGCCAGCTCTTTCAACTACCACGCGGCAGACGTCAAGCGAGACATGATCGGCTCTGCTATGCATGGAACGACAGAAATTATCCGAGCCATCAAGCACTTCGCTCTCTTTGTAAAGCGAATCGTCATCACCTCATCCTTCGCAGCCGTTATCAACATTCATCAAGCGATATTCACCGACAGTTCCAATAATTGGAACCCGATCACGATGCCCAAAGCTCTTTCAGGCGGCCACAATGGGGTACGTAGGCAGCAAGACCTTCGCCGAGTGCGCAGCATGGTCCTTTATGTCAGACTCAACCCGGAATTTCTTGCTAACAACTTCCAATTCTTGTCATAGACTTTGGACCTGCGATGTATCATCTCAGCCCTCTGTGTAACGTGAATACCTCCAACGCCGTGTTCAAGGACATCATCACGGGGAAATTGAGGGATAGTGTTTGCCAGCGGTCCGCTGCACTGATTGTCTAGCTCATTCGGTTAGTTCAGTTTGCTTCACCAACCCTTTCTACTATATAGTCTCGATCGATTCCCGATATAGCTCACAAGATCAATCAACCAATTAATCTCAACCCTTCCACAGAAAGTGCCCCGCTAAACGCGTTCTAAGTGGGTTGATGTGAGGGATATTGTGCTTGCGCATGTGCGCGCGATTGGAGTACCGGACGCTGGGAAGAACCGGTTTTCGGCTGCTGGGGGGTAGGCGGGTATAGTAATGCACTGATTGCGAATATTGTTAAGGAGGAATTTCCTGGGCTAGATGATACACTTCTGGAGCATGTTGGGGTTCCGGGTGGAGAGCAGGATTTTGTGGTTGATAGTTCGTCTATGGCGGAGATTCTGGGGATTGAGTCCAGGTCTTTGGAACAATGGAATTTTTTCTGGGTGTATTCAGAACGGATTTCTTGACGGTAAATGTGAAGTATGTTTGGATTTCTGTCTCATTCGGTTCCATGGATCTCTCCCACGATCGAGTCTCCTTCAATTTGCCATCTATAAGGAATTCGCTTCTCAAAGGTATGATACCAATGCGCTTCAAAGTTCCGTTGCGGGGCTGCACGATCATTCCATAATAATGGGCAATGAGTACGCATTCGGATTCCTGTCGTCTAATACACTGAAGATGGCGCTAGTGCCTTCAGTACCATGAGTATGTAACAGAGGCCAGAAAAGTGCCTGTGCTGGCACTCGAAGCGGATGGACAATCGTAAATCGTGCAGTCGCGCCCGAATTCGGATGTCACGGTTCAGGGTGCTCTTGCCTTTCGAACCTCACCTGCTATGAGAGTGACTGCCACGTCACACTAGCGTTGTTTACAGCTACTCACATATATATACTGTCCGTAGCTTCACCCAATACAACCTCAGTTCAGTCCGTCAATTCTTCCCATATGCGTACTGTCCACGCTTCCCGACATCGGAAGACAGTCATTACTGCCAATGCCATGCAGAACGCTCTGACCTGAAAGATTTCCTTCATACTTTTGCCACTCTGTGAATACCACTCCCATGATGTCTGTATTGGTTTGAACAAATCTTGTATAAACCAGGGTCAGGTCAGGTCTTCCAGAGGTAAGCCATGCAGCGAAAGCCTTATCCAACTGGACGGGTGCGCTGTGCGTTGTCGCACGTACACTGGCACACCGAAACTGCCCTTTTTGTCTTCATTCCGCGGCTAGACTCGTACGTTAATCTATGTGGCGACGTGAACCGCTTGTTGAATACGATGGAATATTGGGCTGAGTTGCTGTCTAGCTAGGAGAAGACAATATATACCTGTCCTGAAACATGCTAGTCCAGAATAGACTGAGCAGCGGCAATCAGACCTCTTACGGACCGATTTATACCGCAACAATTTACGCTTTGTATGACTTCCAGATCGTTGGTAAAATTCCATTTCGCCTCAACTTCAGAATCAATCGGACCATGGGGATATTTGAAGTGACCGAACAGGTTACTGCCACGATATCCACCTAAGTCATGGTGGTGGCTTTCCGAATGCACTCAAAAGCGACTCGCTCGTCGGTGAAGATGAGGCATCTGCACGAAGAGGAACCTTCTAGGTAGGTCCATCTGCGGGTCATCCATTACGAAGCCTTTCCTGGACGCACAGGGGCTCCGTCATATGCAATCCAGGATGTTCCATCGTTCTTGCGTTCTGATCTTGCTGCTGCCTAATCCCTTCGCATGTTTGGGTCACTAAAGACATCTCGTACAAGCGGTAAAGCGACCTCGCGAAGTGGAGAATGATCACAAAGACTGGTGTAAGATAAATCGATCTTGTCCCATAAACAGCAGTCAGTAACGGTACCCGTGGTTGCAGCTGTGGAAAACCTAGCTTGGAAGTGAACGTTCCTTCCAGGAGCAACATGCAGGCTCAAAGGGAGTAGAATCCAATAGTGTCTGCTGGGATATCTGCAGCAGCAAGAACGGAAGTAAACGCCTTGGGGACGTATCTGGAGGTACTCACTGTCAGTTGATGTCGGTAAACGACTCCGGCGACGTGTTGTCATAGCTTCAAGGCTGCCGACTTAGCGACAGGCGTGGCAAGGATTGCGTCTGCGTCGTGGCTTTCATACAGCCTATGTGAGAGTTGACTCTCGAGGCTGGGTAGTGTAAGGCAGAAATAGATGGTGTTGCAGGAAGGCAAAATCGACTTTCTAGGTTTGAGAAAGGTAGAAATATCGTGAGGAAGTCGCGAAGTCGCGCTACGCCGAATAATGGGAAAAGAGCATTGCGCAGGAAGCAGCAGTCGGCAGCTATTGTACGAATCACATCGCATAATTATGACATAGCCCCAACCATGCTGAGAATCAGGCAACGCGATCAGACTGTAACAACACGTGTTCAACAGACAGCACTCAGTCCTAGGGCGAGTTCGAAGAATGGCCATCACATAATCCTGTTGCTGGGGTCAGATGTGTATCTATCAATCTAATCGTGTTTGTTCCTCTCCTTCTCTTTCGCCTGCTCCCTTTCCCTACTCCCATTACCATTGACGCTACTCTCCTCACTCCCCACTCTCTCTTCACTCCCCACCCTCTCCTCATCCCTCTTCTTGTCCTGCGCAATATCCGGGGCTGGCGCAAACTTGCTCTTGGCCCTAATCTTCTTACCATACAAATAAAAGAAGATCGGCATCGGCGCCAGCAGCACCGCCACACACCCAATCAACGTCGAGGCCCATTGGATGCCCATGCCCTCAAACATCTGCGTAGCGAAGAGAGGAAAAATACCGCCAAAGATAGATCGCATGAATGTGTTCGCTGCGATGGCGGAAGCGGCGAACATTAGGTATGCGTCGACGATGTAATTTAGCAGGGAGAGAAAGATAGAGAAGATGCCGAACCCCGTAAACAGACCACTTAAAACGGGCACAATCCAGTGGACATTCCCCGAGTACCCGGTCCATCCGAACCAGAACAGGCCACCAGAGAACAAGACAGCACCGATCATGGAGATAGGAAGGCGCCATTCAGGAACGGGGATGTTGTTGTTGGCTTTGAGTTTCTTGACGTAGCGCGGGTTGGTGAGAACGACGACGACGAAGGCGATGAGTTCGCCGGTTATCATGCCGAAGTAGGCGAGTCCGCTAACACCAGAGGACCAGCCGTAGACGCCTTGGAAGACGAGGGCATATGCCGTCAGGACTGCGTAATATCAGTAATGGTTCGTTGGTGTGAGGAAGAGAGAGAAGAGGGCTTACATATATACAGAAGTCCGTAGATGAAAGACATGTACATAGTGATGAGCAGGACGATGGGCTCGGTGAAGAGGATCCGCATAGGTCTGCTAACGTTTTTGATGATGAGCTCTTTGAAGTCAACTTCGATCTCCTCTTGCTTAGCGTGGATACCCCAGTTCTTCGTTCGTCTCCTCAGCTCGGCGGCCTTGTTAATCAGTACGACTGGCGGATACGTTTCCTCGAAGAAGAACAGTAGCAGTCCAAATGTCAGAAAACCCATGAATGAACTGACGTACATAGTCCACCGCCAGCCAAGGTAGCTTTCGGTGATGAAACCACTAATGAAGGGCGCCATGATTGGACCCATGAACACCGTAGCGGAGAACACCGCGACAGCTAGACCTCGAACCTCATTGCTAAACATATCTGCGAAGGCAGCGACCACAATGGCGAGGGGCGAGGACCCACAAAGACCAGAGAAAAAGCGGCATATCATGACCGTTTGGATGTCCTTTGCGACAGCGACAGCAATGGTGAAGATGGAAAAGCCGAAAGCCGCGATGACCAGCGGTGGACGGCGACCGTACAACTCGGAGATAGGAGCCCACATGAGCGGCCCAAACGCATAACCAAACACGAACAGACTCGTGCCTAGTGTACCTACTTCTCTGCCGACACCGAATTCTGCAGCGACAAGGCCGGTTGCGCTGGAGATGATTGACGAACCCATACAGGTACTCAGTGCGTCGAAGGCAAGCATGACGCCCATGCTGAGCTTCTTCTTTGTGGTCCAGTTTTGCGCGTGCAGTGGGTCATCGTGGCCATCGAATTCGACAACATATTCCTCGCGATCTGGTAGCGGTGGAGGGAAGGGCTTTCCTGCGCCCAAGCTTGGCAGCGGCTTCTCGGTCTTGCGACGAGTGATAGTTCGGGAGAGGTGCGATGGCACTGGAGAGGCTCCGACTGTGCCGGCATGCTGGCTGCGGTGTGTCTCGATACGCGTCAGGGCCACCGGATGTCGCTCGGTGGGATGTCTCTGCAGTATTGTCCCGCATGACTGCTGCGTCGAGTCGGTAAAGCCTCGAGGGCGTGTGTTCGTCGAGCGGACAGTGCGAGTTTCTTCGAGGCATGCGCCCTGTGCTACACTTCGGGAGCTGGTGAAACTAGATGTCGAGGCAGATGACGACGTTGTCTGGCGAGACAGAGGCGCTTCTTCCTCCTCGATCTTCCTGCTCATGGGTGATGCCAGCGGTTCTGCATGTTGCTCTGTGGCCCCTTCCACTGGCTCCTCGTTCACTGAACGCCCATGCTCTTCTGCATTGCGCACAATCTCTTCATATGTTGGGTCGCGGCCATGGCGCTCGTAGTACTCGCGGCGAAACTGGCGGTTGGGATCCCATTGTCTGAAGCGGTCGGGTGATGCATTCTCCTCATTGCGCAGCACTACCAGGTCTGATTCCTGCATTGTGCCTGCGATCCCTTCTCTTCCCGCTGCGATTGCTGAGTAAATGCGATTCTCGAGCAAATAAACAGTCGTGACCAATTTTGCGGGCGCTGACGTCGCTGATCGGTGGATGCGCGGGTACTAACACACACCAGCGTTCCGTAGTGCGCCGTTTGTCGGTATCCGGGTGCGGTAGTTCGCGATGCCTGTGCTGTAAAGCCAATTGCTGTCGCAGAGCGAGATGGCTCTACTGGAGAGTTGTGCAGCCATCAGTGCCTATATCCTCGACGCTGCCGACCGCGCTTTGTGTTGGCGTTGCAAAATTTTCTTGTTTGTGACTGAACGTGCACTTAATAACTTAATTATTACTGTATACTCGCAGCTCCACCATCATCATCTTGCCGAGATCTCCGCGAGTAAGCCATCTAGAAGCCGGTGATAGCGTTAACCGGTATGCACTCCTGGGCTTGCAATTGGCAGTCGACGAAGATAAGACTTACGGCTCGGAGCGAAAATAACGTGTTTTAACGGCTCGTGCACGATTCCCGCTCCAAAACAAACATTCTACAACATTTTCAACACGTGATAGCTCAACATCATGACAGATTTAGACGATGCGCTTGCAGATCTCGGTCCTTACGACCCTTCTTGGAAATACAGCTACACTAAGTGTGCAAAAAAATGTGTTGTTAATCGATCAACACTATCACGACGACACAGGGGCAAATGCAGGGATAGGAAGGAGGGATATGCGTAACAACAACACCTCAACACACAACAAGAGCGTGAGCTTGTCAAATACATAGATGAGCTTACTCGGCGCGGACTACCTCCTACGCGTAAAATGATACGCAATTTTGCAGCAGAAATCTACCCAAAAGTACATGGGCAAGTGCTGGGCAGACCGCTTTATCGCCAGGCATCACATCGAGCTTATATCACGATGGACATCCGGCATCGATACCCAGCGCTTCAAAGCTGATGATGCCGCCAATACGCGTACTTTTTTGCCCTGATTGATTGATTGATTGATTGATTCAACGTCCTATGTGAGTCTGAGACTATGGAGGACGAGTGGAGCAGTAGCTTCACTGGTAATGCAAAGTTGGAGATACAGGAGGTTTGGTTCAGTCAGAGTACGAGGGATGGTGAGGGCTCAAGCCCAGTACTTTTTTGCCCTCCTCCGCCGCAAAATTGATCAATATGGTGTCAACAGTCGCCACATATACAATATGGATGGGAAGGGCTTCTTGATTGGCATACTGTCATGAAGCACTGTAACCACGGCGACTCCAATCCATCGTCACTTTTGTGGAGGCCTATCAGGCCACCGAGCCCATGGTCCCAATCTCCAGCACCTGGCGTACCAACGACAGGCTCACCTGGTATCATGATCTTCGCCAGACCCGGGACGGACAAACTGTCATGCAAAGACGCCTTGGACGCAATTGACAGAAACGACGTGAACATGAGCTCTACACTCTGACTCGTAAGGAGCTTACCGTCATCGCGAAGAATATACTTCAGCAATCTCAAATAGTCCTCAGCCGTGCCAAACAGCCCCGCACCACCATAGTCGTCCTTCGCATCTACCGGCTGCTTGAGAACTGAGTTGGATGGATCGCCATCCGCAAGAGCCTCATCGGGCGAGGAGCGAACAGACATAGGCATCAATCGTTCCCGGATGTTGTTGTGTGACACGTGAAAAGAAGTGTCGTGCATACCGAGCACATCGAAGATGTTTCGCCGCATGTATGTCTCGAGAGTACACTCGTTTATGCGGGCGACCATCAGCCCGGCGACGTCGAGACCGGGACCGTAGACAAACGCTGAATCGGGCTCGAAGATAAGCGGGTGGACAAAGCACTTTGGGATCGGACTGCGCATCCATTGCCACTCTTCTCCCCGCGACTGGCGCCATTGGAGAAGTGGAGGCATGAACCCGTAGGTGAGCCCGCTTGTGTGCGAGAGTAGACGTCTGAGGGTGATACTCTCCTTTGCCGGTGTCAAGATGGGACTGCCTCCCTCATCGAATGAAGGGACCTCAAGACTCGCCCATTCAGGCAGGAGACGCTCAATGTCAGCATTTGAATCAAGTGAGAAGAGCCCACGTTCGACGCACTGTAGTGCTGCAATAGTTGTTGCAAGCTTGGCGCATGAAGCTAGCCACATGACCGTCTTTGAGGACACTGCTGGTGAAAGCCCAACTCGTATAGTGCCAGGGGAGATGAGATAGTCTAGTGGATCTGCAATAACATGTCAGCCGGACGCGTAGAGGTTTATATTGACACTGTGATGATCACCTTCTTTAATCGCAGCTGCAGCGAGTGCGACTCCAGGCAAAAGACGTTCGGGGCTTGGTTGCACAGCTCGCTATATTGCTTCCTCGAAACTTGGCAAAGGCATGTTTACCTGGCAAGCTCACCCTTTGGAAAGGCAAGAGTAGTGAGGGTGGATAGACCTTATAGTGCTGTGATGTGGCTGATAGATTCGCTAGGTGCTCGTAGAGAGCGAACCATCACAAGCTACATGTTCAAGGCGGTTGCTGAGGTGAGACGGAACGTGAGGCTGTATGGATTCACCCAACACATTTTGTGTTCATGCAGTCGAAGGTTGTATGGCATACATACATTTTCGCCACCTGCACAATGCCCTTCATCACTGGCCTCCTGAAGAGTCGATGCAAGATCGCCCATTCACCATCTCTTGGTCCCCGAAGCGCCTAAATGCCTACGCAACAGCCGCACACCTATACAGTATGTTACGGTGACCCGAGTGGAGTCCTCGAGACCGTCTTGTGCTACAAGTCATCTCGAGTGCATCAACATGGCACAATGACAGCCTTGGTTGGGTCCAGGCTCCCTGGTCAGCACTGCCAAATACAGTATGTTGAGTGCTAGATCAGTTGCCTCGCGCTCAAAACGTCAGTACCAACGTGCCGAGACATTAACGGGGCCCACGGGGACCTGGTCGATGTGCAAGATATTGCATGATCTTGCAGACACATGGCCGCAACGGGGAAGCGGGCGATGTTCGGCTTTCTACACCCGTGTCATCGTCCCATGTGATTCGACAATACCAAGAGGTCGCCGAACAGAACCATCCATCTGAAAAAACTCGAAACTGTACCTGTCCTGGTGTAACAAGTGCCTCATTGCGACAATGAGGTCCCTACCTATGCAATACACAAGCAGTTGGGCGCATTCACTCCTCCTCGACGTCTCATCACGATGTTGGAAGCCGCACAACACTTCGTGTGCAATTGCTTTTCGCCAAGTGGGTCAAGCGAGGTCCAACAGGGACCATACCCACCCCCATTAACGATAACAGAACGGTCAATCAAATATATGTGTAACTGCTGACACAAGTAGGTTGACTCGACTGCGCTCTTGGCTCATCGTCAAATGAAGCAGATACAGCTACCTTGAACTCGTCCAAATCCAGGAGGGCTTCGCCGAACACAAACGATTCAGAGGCTCATTTTTCAGCAACCTAACGCTCTACTTACGCACGAACATCACCATATACGCGGATGATAGAGGCAACGGTCTTGCCCTCTGGTCCGCACATCTGCCGTCGGTGTTGTTGCTGGTGCAGCCAGTGCAAGGCGATCTACTTCTCGATCCATGACTTAAGGTTCCCAAAGCCGTTTCACGCCAATCTCTATGTGGTAAGGCGTCCGCTGTATCCTTTGTGGCCATCACTCCATCGTTCCCAAAACGTCGAATCCTGCATCACAACCGCTCGATTCGAGACGTTGACGCAAAAGCAATTAGCCACATACATTGGCGCTACAAAGACTGGTTACGCATGCAGCATTGGCAGTTGTGCGAATTTCGGTCTCATTCCAGTGCTTCCACGTCGGACTTTGACCGCTCGTTATCACTACAACTGCACCCATGATCTGTCAAGCCAATAATGACTTGTCCGAGTCTAGAGGAGGCACAGCAAACTTCAAGAAGCTCGGCGATCAGAAGGTTTACTGGCTTTGCAAATCCAGATGTCTTCTCGGATCGCTCATCAGTGTTTTAGTCGCAAGCCACTTCCCACCAATCGAGGCGTTCTTGAGTCGGCGCTAGGCTCATCCACGCGCAACGGCGTGAACTCTACCGCCAAGCGGATACCCTGCATACTCAGATTATGGCTTCTGCGTCAAATCCTTCGTGTATGCAGCAGCACGTTTTCCTATGGTGACCTGGAGCCCTGGTAGTCGACTTCCGCTGTCACAATCTGATCTGTGATTGCATGATCGAATCTGCATCGAGCATGTCGACAAGTGCCAGTGCACAGCCGGAAAATACTCGCGGGTCAATCTTTGAAATACATTGGCTGAAACCATGGTTTACTTTTGGCAGCAGAAAGAGCTGTTGCAACCTTGATATCGTTCGCCCCCACAGGCCCACGTTTATACAATGGTTCTGTCTCCACCAGCCGCAGCGCACTTATGACAGGCACCCCCCAGCTTCGCACACCCTGAATATCTCTGCTATTGCCTTTATCTTCTTTGCATGAGCAAGACATCACTTCAATCTTCAACCTCAAGATGCCGGGAGGTATCCACGCTCCGATTGAGGAGATATTGAAATGGCCTACACCAAACTACGTCAACCCCACTACGAGACCGAACACCATTCTTTTAATCACGTGTATCTGTGGGCCTGTTACTTTCGCTATGTTGATGGCACGTCTTTGGGTCAGGTTATTCCATCAGCGTAACCCTGGCTGTGACGATTGGCTGGTGGTAGCTGGCACTGTAAGCTTTGCATCGTCCCCAACAAGTATTGTACTGACGACCATCAGATCCCCACGATCGCGGCCACGGTGCTCTTTCCGTTGGGTGAGTCCATGCATTTGCCCTCAGTGACCAGCTAACACATATCAGCAACTCACAGCGGCTTCGATCGACACATATGGGATGTCAATCTCTTCAAAGACCCTGAGAAGGTGGTGGTCGCACGGAAATACGTTCTTGCCATTCTGTGCATCTTTTGTACTGCATCTGGTCTGATCAAGATCTCCATCCTTCTTTTCTATCGCCGTCTATCCTCTCGTGTCGTCTCGAACCGCTTTCGATGGGCAACCTGGCTTACAATCGGTTTCATCGCTGCATCCACTATCGCTTTCACACTCGCACCCATCATTGGGTGTGATCCGATCTCCGCGTTCTGGGACCAAGCGAACTACGACAAGTTGATCAAAGGGTACAAATATCGCTGCTTCGACGAAGGAGCAGATGTCTTCTCTGCAAGCGTCATCTCTACGGTCCAAGATCTGATCACAGCCATACTACCGACTTTCCTGTACTGGAACCTCCGGATTCCGGTACGCCAAAAGATTGCCTTGTTCGGCATCTTTGCTATTGGGTACGGTGTGGCTGCTCTTGGTGCTATGCGTGCCTACTACAGCTGGCAGATCTACTTTGGGACTTACGACGTCACTTGGGTTACCTGGGATCTCTTCATCGTTACCATGCTAGAGCTGCACGTCGGCTGCTTTTGCGCCAATGCGCCCACCCTCAAGGTCTTTTTCAAGCACTTCTTCCATGAGACAATCACTTCGAGCACCAAGCGGTCAAACACTTCTGGACAGAAAGATCGGAAGAATAGTGACCTCTTCGGCACGAAGTCCAGCAAGTCGTTAGCAGGTATGCTCAAAGAGGTTTCTAGCTTTGACTCGAAGGGCAGCAGCACTCACAGCAGGGACGGCTATCTGTCTGAGCCTCATGCAGAGATCTCAGTCGACGCGTATGGTAGTGTCCAAGTTCCAAAGGACATTCATGTCGCTCGATCTCCGCCACTCTCCATCATTATCGAGTCTACTCGCCGTGATCTCCGGGAATCTGCAGATACCACAGACATGATATGCGCTCAATACTATGATGACATTGAGTTGGGTCGCTACACCACAGGGCGAAACTCGCAAGTATCGAGTCTGCACTCCCATGGCATTTTCGACGACGCAGATATCGAAGCGCTACCGGACATGCCACAAACGCCTAGATCATCGCGATCGATGAGGTCATTTATGTCTTTCAATCGCCAACCTCGGTCATCACGGTCATCTACTCATCCTGAGTGGTCAAGCTGGCCGTTACCTGCCACTATTGCGGAGGAAAGACATGAAAGTGGGTCCCGCTCGAACTTGTACCATCCGCGGAGCACTAGTCAACGGAAGCCACAATGGCAAACCTGGACCTGAAATCGATGAATCTTATTTCGAACTACAAACCTCCACCCTGACCCTTGTCTCCGGACGTCCCGCGGGCCTTGTGGCAACATGCGTAACACGCTCTCTCCACAAGTCTGTCGGATACCTGCATCCGCACGCCTTTGACGCACGACTCGGCCGCATGATTAGGCCACACCTTCGTTCGCATCCCGCCTCCGGATGGCCACGACAGATCATGACCCTGAATTCATTGAGTCGATGTCTACGCGCTCTGCTGCTTCCGCGGAACTTGTCGCGATGCAAACTTGTCGAGAGGCGAGAGGCACCCCTCATGGCTGCAAGCTCATCCTCGAGCGCGCCTGGTCACCAGATCGCACATGCGTCACCATCTGCTTGATGTATATCACCAATCGATATCAGAAGGTTCTGCTCTCTACGCATGACCATCTCTCTTGTGTGGTAATGTGCTTCCGTATTACGCTACCATTTAACTACTACTATCTCATAATATTTGAACTGTTTCTATGGCACAAGTTTCATCACCGAATCTTTTGATTCTTGTTGCGGTGTATAAAACCTTTAGGGCCCGAGGGTCAGAAAGGTCGGCATTTTTGTATCGCTGCGGGGCCGCGACAATTCTACTGATACAACTGCAGAACAGCAGGGCTTGCAGTCGATGTATAAATTAGGCTGAATATGACTACCGAAGGTGTGCACTCTGGGACCACTACTTTTCCTGCACTGACAAGCATACTGCGTCAACCCTTTCCCAAAGCTACGAGGGATTTCAATCCTCACTGACGGCTACATCAATGCGGCTCCCATGCGGACCATACCATACACAGAGCAGGAACAGCAGCTCACGCCCGCTCAACACCCTCTTTTTGCCGCCTTTCCTAATACTTACAGTGCTGACTGACGTTATCCAATTCAGAGCATGAGGCTTCTTGACCGCGATGGCTACCCGTCATAGTATTGCCTGGAAGGTCCAGGACATCGGTAGAACTCAGACGCACACCCACCCAGCTAAGACTTTCGAAAAGCCAGTTTGATTTTGGGACCTCAAGGTCAACTGTTCCTTCTGGCTTTGTGAAGATGAACATCTAGTTCACGGTGTGATATGGCTTGAAGCATGAGGAGTAATCGACATGTTCGATCTTGAAGCGAACAGCTTGACCTTTGAGAGAGAGCTGAACGTAAGGCAGAAGATTGTACCCGTCGGGTGGGAGGCTGTCGTAGTGGGGAAGGATAATGGAGATATCTGCACGGTGCTGCGAGACATTTATGACTGGCTGACTCAGTCGAATGTCTTGAGGTACAGATCTAGCTCGGAAGTGGACACCCATATTTTGACCCGCTTGAGGTACTTGAGTTGCGTCTCCGCTTGAATTGTTCGTTATACGTGTGCGAAAGTGTTTCAAGGATGGAGCCGCGGGGAGCCGGACTCGAGCGGTTTAGGTTTAGTGTCCGGCGAGTTGGAAGTGCGTAGTTGTGGAAGGGTTGAGTGGGATTGAGCTTCATACTTCCTACATGCCATGCCGGAAGTTCAGCCGAGTCGAAGGTCCAGATCCGGTGGACAGTGATCAATTGACATCTCCGGAGGCCGGAGTCAGAGAAGACTTTAAGTGTATCAGTGTAGTCCTTCAATTGGTGAACAGAAGCATGTCTAAGACTGTTCCCAAAGTTCCCAATACCTCCCTTTGCTTTCACATAACTCCTCGTGTCTACCCTTCTCCACAATCTTCCCCTCGTGTAGCACCAAGATCTGATCGGCATCTACGATGGTGCTTAATCGATGTGCAATCACAATCACAATCCTCCCTTGTCTCAGCTTCTCTAATGCTCTTTTGATCTTTCCTTCCGTCACTGTATCAACAGCACTAGTCGCTTCATCCAATAACACAATGGGTGCATCCTTCAATAGCGCTCTCGCGATGGCAAGTCTTTGCGCCTCACCACCGGAAAGCTTGACGCCGCGCTCACCAACTTGTGTGTTGTATCCATCTGGGTAGCGCATGATTGTAGCATGGATCGCAGCGGCACGGCATGCCTCGTGTACATCCTCATCGGTCGCTGTGCTGCGCGCGTAGCGTACATTCTCCATGATCGAAGTGTTGAAGAACATGGGGGTTTGCGGTACTACGCTCACGGCGTCTCGAAGGGAACTGAGTGTGACGTCCCGGATGTCTTGTTTCGAAATGACTATGCTGCCAGCTGTGAGGTCGTGCAGGCGCAAGAGTAGCTTCAAGATTGAGGACTTGCCAGCACCAGTCTCTCCCACGAGCGCGATGGTCTGGCCGGGCGAGGCGGTAAAGGAGACATTTTGGAGGGCGTAGCGACCTTCTTTGTACTTGAAAGACACCTGGTCGAATCGGACTTCGCCCTCGCGCACGGTGAGCGGATAAGCTTCAGGTGCGTCTACAATCGACGGCTTGGTCTTCAGAAGCAGTAGAAGCCGCTCGGCATCAACGAAATCACTAACCAGCCATCGAACATGGTTTGTCAGGAACTTGAGTGGGTAGATAATCGAGTCCCAGTATGTGAGAAAGAAAACGAAGTCTCCTGGCGATGCGGTCCCAGCAGCGATGCGCTGGAGGATAAGATAGGCCAGCGCGAAAAAAGTGGTTGGTACCACAAGCTCCACCAGAGCCTTGATGAGTGCCTGCCGCGCCACGAAGCGTGTTTCTGCCGTCATATGCTTGGCGACTGCATTGGAGAGGGTCTGGGCTTCGCGCTGGAACTGGTTGAAGTAGGTGATAGTCTGCCATCCCTGGATAGCTTGGTGCATTTTTCGAGTTTCGGCTCTTTCCGCCTTTGTCAAATGCCTCCGGTCGTCAGTTGTGAGTCGCGTAGAGGATACCTCTGCGACCAGGTATGCAATGGATGCACCAAGTAGCACCATCGCCACCGTAGAGTTGAACTTCTGGTGGAAGATCACACAAGCAACGATGACATCGATCAGGGTCGGAGCGATATCGATGACCACTGACTCGAGCACGTTGCCTAAGGCCCCGCCTTGCTCAACTGCCTTCATGACCTCGGCTGAATCTTGCGTAGAGTGGAAGTCAATTGATTGACCCATGACATGGTTGAAGGCAGCATTGGTGAGACTCTTGTACGAAAATTGCTTAATGGGAATCTTCGACAGATCCTGAACAAAGATCAGACCCGACTCGGCGTTGATGACATCGAGTGCGAGGAAGATAAGGAGTTCTCGAATTGGCGCAACTCCGGTTGTAACTTTGTCGGCGATGACTCCAAGAGTGTACGGAATCGCGACGTGTAAAATTCGTTCCAGAATGAGAGTGACAATGCAGATGAGTAAACATAGCTGTACTTTGAGATCCCTGTGAGGAATCACGTAGGGTAAGAAGATTGTGAAGTCTTTCAGATAGCCAAGCCAGCCAGTCTCGCGTAACCGCTCGGTGCGCGCATCCTTTACTTCTTGATCCTCATCGCTGTCACTGTCGCTATTGTCGTCGATAATCTTGACGTAGCCGTCCTCGGTAGTTGAAGGTAGTGCTGCCTCAAGGAGAGGATCAGTATCCTGTGAGCCTTTTCCTGGCGATCTCCAGAACTGGAATAACATTGTTGATATCGGAGAGTTGTTGCACTGCTCAGCACGCCCAGAAATCTTTTGTATATGTACTATGTTCTTTGTTCTGTGGTAAGCGCTATGCAGTGAGATTTTTGGCAGCCAGGCATATCCGCCACCGGTGAAACGATGAGTCATAGGGGGCTTGACTAACTCCATCTTTGATGGAACGGAACAGCTACCGGTGATGTGTTGAAAAAGTCGTTCGTGAGTTTTGTGACTCCCGTTGCGATGAATCAAGCATATGTGCAGTGTGTATCGCCACAGTGCTAGATACGTGTGTGACCCGGAAAGGGCGATGCGCACTTCTGATTCGCTCGCGTCAAATCGGCCCCTATGCGGTTAACCTTTGACTCAGATTGGAAAACGAAGTCATCGCCGTGAAGAGATGACTACGCGTAGACTTCGTCTGGACTCGGGAAAATGACCCTGATCGAGAATTTAATGGTCGTATCAGAAGGCTGATGTGCTGTAGTTCACGGATTGTGCTGGTCAGAATCAGTTGACCCCCACCTCTCGTCTCGCTGGTTTATTGACTTTGTTCCTCGAATCAATAGGAGATCCGGTTCCTGGAAGCTCGAATGGTACATCTTTTTGCAACACGATCATCTTGAAGCTTGTTAGAACGCCCCAGGTGGGCGGCTCAGCAATGCTCCTTCGCACCACCTCATACCCTCTCTTTCTCCAATATACGCCGTTGATGCACTCTGCTGCCAGGATCCAGAGGGTCAGTCGGTACGTCTCACAAACTCCCTTCCTGTAGTTGAGATACCCAACTGCTTCGATTTCAGGACAAGGTGTTACTCAAAAAAGGCCTACAATTGGACCGCAAGGCCGCGTCCCAGGTACCGCGCATCGCCATCTACTGCAACCGCCTTGATCTCCCATCCTTCCTCAATTCCAGCTCCCTCTTTTCTCCATCCGCCTTGCCATGGCACTGCAGCTGCGACAGCAATGACTTTCCGTTCTGCTACGTCCTCATCGAAGATCACAGCTGCTACGCCCTCACTACCAAGCATCTCCAAGTAAAGGTCGTGACTTGGAAATCTTTTTCTCTCCCCTTGCTGCCACTTCATAGGATCTGACTTTTTCGAACGAGCGAAGGCATCCTTGATAAGACTGGTGATTTCAGTGACTAAATCTGGGTCAGATTCAAGATTTGAAGGCGTGTACAGAGTGGGTATAGAGAATGATGGCAAGTCGGCCATGATGGACACAATCCTGATCAGAAAGGTCAATACACCTGGATTTCGCGCAGCCTGCAACAAAGAAGTGAAAATCGAGATGAATAGAGAATATAACGTGGCAGCATCTCGTGGTAGCGATGTTATCTGGCACTCACGTCATTGACTCACGCCTTTCAGAGTACAAAGTTCCGAAGCTAACACTAGCACCTGCCTAATCGGGCATTGTCCACGCCTTCTCCCTCGGGATGGCGACACATTGCGATTTTATCCATGACTTTGAATCTATCAAAGAAGGTTGAAACTCATGTTGGATTGGAGGTGCCCTACTGAAAGAGATATTGCAGCGCCGGCGTATATTAGCTTCGGATGCTTGCAAAGTTGTTAAGGCGGTCTGTGAGATAGGATAAAGCTTCAACAGACGTGCAAGTCGAATCGTGTTCGTCTTTAAAAAGATAGCCTATACCTCATCTCCAGTCTTGGACGAAGCTGGAGTCTGAATCCTGGTCAGTCTCGTCCCATTCAAAGTCCCAAAGAAAGACGTATGGGTTGTCCAGGAAGATGTTTCGAAGTTCGACGCGCCGGACGTATTCGTTGAAGTTATACGGAACCGCGAAAAGCCCATGACGGCTGAGAACTTCCTGACTGCGCAATGCATTGTCCGCTTCTGCTTGCAGTTTGTTTCGGCTAGTCTTGACGAACTCAGATGGAACACTGTTGTCTTCGCCAGGTCCAATGTAGAATTTTGCGTGCGGATAAGCATCCGTACCGATGTGGGAGACCATGAGTCTGTGAATCCTGCCCTTGGTGACATCCTCCACCCAATCTTGGTGCTGATGTGTGAGCAGCTTCTGGATTGTATTCACATCGGCCGCCAGCAGGGTCTGTATCTCCTCCCTGAAGATTTCTTCATCTTGCACGCATGCACTGTTTTGAACTTCGCACTTGACGAACTTGCATGTGAACATCTTGTTCGCAAGGCCAAACTTCAGTATCGGTAGGAGATCAAGTTCGACTGGTATTTGGTCCTGATCGTTCCTAAGAAAGGTGTTCGTGAAGATAGTCATGCACTTGGGTACGAGACCGATGTTTACGATCTTGCCCTTGCTGGTGGGAAAAAACGTGTCGAAATACGATGGGACATCTCTCCAGTTGATCACAACATCAGCCCTCAGGCACATGGATCGGTATTCGTGGCGAATCTGTCGGCAAGTCTGAGCGAGTGCCAAACATGGGACGACACAACATCCCTCTTTAGTCGTGGCGTACGTGGCAAAAGTGTAGATGTGATTTCGCATCTCTAAGCCGCTGATTAGTACACAATAGATACACGATGTAGACGTCTGCCTTCTTCTTACCTGGAGGAAGTCCCAAGAAGTCCTGGGAAGGGCTACGGTCTGCCATTTCTGCTTCTTCTGGTTCGGACAGAGAACGTTTGCGTATGCGACGAGCACGAGATCGGGCATAGAAGAGAGGTCGCTCGATACTGTCGACAAGCCGAAGCATGCTCCAAGGCATATCTCTGGTGCCCTCAATCCTCCAGGTTCTTTGGAGACCACAACGCAATATTCGGAGGCCTCTGCCCGGTGTGAGAGCGGTCCGCATGAAACAAAAGAAGGTAGAGCTAAATTCCTTGAGACTTTAAAGGTTGTTGAGATATCGAAAGAAATTTTGCTACCCTTGAATAAAAGTGGCCTCTTCTTCATCTTGGGAGACATCGGTACCACCGGAACTGTGCCCTTACCCCTCCTTCCCAACCGCTCTCGTCAGCCAACAAAAGCAGGGGCTGTATTGATCAATGGCAACCGTAATTATCCCCGATATCTGTGGCCATCGGTATTCATGTGCATATTCGTAGCATCGGTGTAGTGTTCCTAATCATAAATACATTCGAAGGTGCACCTGCGTGGCAGGCAGAAGATGCCATGGTAAGTTGCCAGTAATGTGACGTCGTGCATCGCCTTCTAGGGGACATGTTGAGGTTTAGGATAAATTTGGAATACAAAAACATATATCTGCCGTGTACATAGCGGAGTAATAGACTGTTGTGAAAGTTGCATTGTTCTCGCACGCGCTTTTTGTCCACCACAGTGAACACGCAAAAATAGCACAGCATCACGTCACTAACTTTCTATCTTTAATTTCTTCGACTGTTCGCTTTCACATACAACAAGCTCGCATGTAACATCAAACGCTGCATTTACTTAAAAGTCTATGCACATTCTCATTCAATTTACTGCAGCAGCGAACTACGTCTGTGTAGGCTACTGAGTTTGCACTCTACTTTTTAACTCTACTTTTAAGCCAAGCCTTGAACGCTTGCACGTTGCGCGCTACTTTGTAGAGAATGCGAGTTAAGTTGAAAGCTTAAGTAGTATCCATCTCATGCTTTTGTTGAACCGCGGCTCAGCTGCATCGTTCTGAATGCTCATTGACAGCTACGTGCAGAAGATCGCAGCACAACATACATACTTCTGCACCGAGGGCTTCCTTCAACGTTCTGCCTCATGTCATTGCATCCATAGCTACCGTTCTCTGGTATACCTTCAAAGATAGAGAAGTCTGGTACCTACTTCACCAACGGCCTTGGGTTTCATGCTACCCGTTCTAACGCCACCAACCGAACTTGGGAAATTGTGTTGAGACACCACATCTTATAGACATGAATTTGCAGGAGGTGCTCAAGGTTATCTTGCCGGCTATTTGCGATCTAATAACCCCTCTTAGGCCTTCAACAATACCTGTATATCCTGTACAAGAAACGTCTGCCAGATAGGCAAAATGCTCCACCAGGTAGTGCTGATCTTTGGGAATTTCACTAGGCAGAGTGTGTGGTCCACACTCCAGGCACGGTCCTTAGCTGACCCAACCCACGACAGCATACTTGATGAAGGTCAACATTCAAACACTCTGGCTTTTGACACAATAATTTTATTGCATCGATCTCACGTTTAAACGGGCACTCAAATCATATTCTTCGCCTTTCTCAACATTTCTGGCGGCAAGTCATCCAACTTTCACATGTCGACACCGATAGCTGACTACCTCTAGAGGTCCACAACTGTATCTGCACTCCTGTAGTGAATGACGAAGGACTGGACGTCATTTTGCGCCGCACTCTAGACAGCAATGAATTGTACGGCGCACGGACCAGAGTCTGCCTTCGAGTTCGACCAGAGTGCCTGCCCGTTCATATCAAAAACCGACAGCGAGCGACAATCTCGATGGGCCTTCAAGACGCGAATGTGTATATTGGGACTTTCTGTGACAGAGACTGGAACCTTGGCGCTATATCTCGCCATCTCCGACTTATGTTGAAGCCTCTCTTGAAAAGCGACGATACTCCACCTCCTTTGGACCTATTTCCTCTCTTTCACTATCGCACAAGAGATCCATCGCATGACTTTGCGTTTGCGGTAGACTATCGCCGGCCTGTTGAGAGGATGCTCACGCTCTGTGTTGAGGAAGAGCGAAAGAACCCGAATGACGTACTGAACCTCCGCCGCTATCCCAGAATGCTACAAAAGATCAAGAGCGGCAGGATCACAGTCGTGACTACCTCTCTGCATCCATCAAGATGTCTTTGGTGCCTGACTTGGACCTCGTCTCGCGAGATATAGCCTCCTGGCCGATCTGGTACCTGGAGTGCGATTACAAGTGCCATCTAGGATTCTCTTGCGATATTGGGTATTATGCTCCTGATGTCAAGGTACGACTCGCGCTCGATGGCGTTTCGCACCAACAGTGGGCCAGCAAAGCTGCGGATGAGCGGGCACAGAAGATCAAGGAGCACAGTATGTACTTCTTGCACTGCATCAACCCTTAGTACAAGTCAATAGTGCATTAGTATGACTACCTCCAGAGTTGCAGGTCGTGGGCGGAAACTGGTTGGCGTTCATCCCAGCTGCTTCCTTTGCGCCTGCCTCCTCAACAAACTTTCAAAGTCGACCTCGAAACGGCTTTCTTGCACTCAGCACCTCATCAGCGCGCCACCACGCTTTTCATATTCTCTCACCTCTCACCTACGACCACTGCGACGCCGCCAAGCTCCGCTCCGTAATGCTACCTGAGCAAGGATCGTCTATCTTACTGGCCAGCGCGAGGTTGGAAGCCCCACCTCCACTGTTGCCAGCACCTGTTTCCTAGGTGACTGCCAGTGCGTAACCCCCCCCCCCCCCAAAGGCAATGCGGCCCTTTGCGCTGCCCTCGGCGCAGGCAACTCACCTTCACCATCGTCGTGAATGGTGCTGCGATACATACAGAGACCAGGTCGCCCCCCGCTGCTCTTGCTGTACCGCCTCACCATACCATCAAATTTTTGGTCGCTTCCAGCAACAACTCCAGCTCCGCCGCTTCTTCCCGCAAGTCACCACTACTACCAGTTATCATGGAGTGAGTCCTGCCTTTCGTCTGCTTCCCTTGAAAGTCAGTTGTGCTGACACAAACAGTCAAAAGCGCTGCTCAACCCCTCCACCATCCGAATTTGCCGACCACCAGCTCCTTGCGCTTCCACAGACGCCAGGTGCTCCTCGAGATGCCCTCCCCCGTACCATGATTCCTCCATCGCCTGGAGTCCCACGTCTCGGCGCGCTCGCGGCAACCTCCAAGCGTTCAGCACGAGTCCGAGCACCAGCTGCAAGTAGCAAGCGCAGCCAGACTGCAGGCGTCAAGAAGCCACCACCCAGGACCGTCAAGACTAAAAGTGGCATTGCCAAGGCGATGGACAATGTCGCTGATAGCAAGAAGAGCATCGGCTTCATGGATCTCCCCGGCGGTATGCCACTGATCACCCTGCCTGTCTCCGTAGTCTTACTAACGAAGCGCAGAGATCAGGAACCTCATCTACTCTTTCACGGGTCAGAAATCCAGTCAAGCCCTGCTCGTGTACCGCCCTCGACTCGCATCACTACGCTCGCGTACTCAGCTCGACCGTCATCGTACCCTGGCCTCCGACGTCATCGAGAAGGAACAAGAGGCTTCTTTGCCAGCCACTGGTCGTGCTGGCCGTACCCGTGTCAATAAGCGCAAGCCGAAGACTGGGCTACTCCCTCGCGAGACGAACCGTCCCTTCTTCGGTCTCACCCAAGTATGTAGCCTTCTTCGCCAGGAGTTTCGTCCGCTATACATGAAAAAGCAGGAGATCGGTATGGACCTGGCTGAAGTTGTCAAGTACCTTCACACCTTTTATCCGGAGGCTCCAGAGCTTTTCAAGACCCTCTCAACATCTAACGACCGCAAGATCGATATGCCCTTCACGGGCAACTTGACGATTGCTGTGGGCGACAAGGTCAAGGATATCGAAAAGTCGGCTGACGGGGTTGATGTTTGGCCGCTTCTTGATCTCTGGGCGAACAGTTTCAAGATCGAAGCCGGTTTCGGGCGCTACATGCAGGTGCATTACGATGCGACTGCTGACGGCGAGGCCAAGGATCTGCAAGTGTACCCTAACCGTGTCTCCGCTCCTTCGACATTCGCTAATAAGCCTAGCTACCGTCTCTTTGGTCGCTGTGTTCAGCCCGACCGTCGGTGCAGTGGCATGAACACCACGTGGCGTACGATTCTGCGCACTCGCTCTTTGGCCGCGGTGCGCATCCACCGCAAGCCCGCCTCGACTTCGACAACTCCACCTGCTCCTCAGCACTCTGCTCGTCTCTTCGGCCCTATCGTCCCCGGCCCTCGACCCTATATCCATATTCTCTTCAGGCCCGATACCGCTGAGCCATGGATGAACAAGGAGGTATCAACAATCCCGCATGACTGGCTGAAGAACCGTGGCTTCAGCGGAATGGAGTACTTCGACGTCAAGATCGGTGTTGTCTCTGCTTCTGACAAGTGAACCCCTTGAGCATCGTCCAGACATTTGCGCAACACGCCCTACCTTGGTCGTATCGTCATTGTGTTGAGGTTTGTCTGCTGTTTAGTCGCAACAAAAGCAATTTCTGCCAAGAGGCCGGTTGATACCACCACATCCCTGCGTTGTCGTCGTTCATCGTTATGCGCACATTTGGTGCGAGCTCGGAGTGTTACAGTCTCTTTTCCCAAGTCGATGTCCACTGGGCCGACATTACACTGCCAGGCATCTTCTGCTGGGAGGAAGCATCTAGGCATCGCCATGTCAACGTCTTCTACTATATCTCTTTACCTTTGTAGCCTTCCATCAAACACATCCAATCCTCGCTTCCCCTAAACTGTCTTGCTTCACCTTTGTGTCGTGCATAGGGGCCGGGATCAGAGCCCCTGATGTGAGTGACGATGCATGGTGAGGTCTAAATTTGGTGTCCGAGTCCAGAGCGTTGGCAATGGAGACGAACACGGGCCGTTGAAACGAGGCGGGGAAAGGGGTCCGAGTTAGCTGAAGTGCCCGACGCGACGACTCCACAAAGGCCTGTGCACTTGTGTGGCGTCAACGCTTCTCTTGTCGTTCCGCAGGCTGGCAGCTGACCGTCTTCGCGACAACGAAGAGCGACAACGAAGAGCGACAACGAAGATTTGCGCGCTCACATTCCCTGATCAGTCTCTCTGTCAGGTGCTTTGTGTTGTTGTTGTATCCTCTTATTGTCAGTGTGAGCAGCCGCGGACCCCTGTGGCGCGCTTCTTAGCTGCAGAGACGCGTCTTGAGGTCATGCACTGTCGTCGAATTGTCCCGTTTCCTAGCGCGTACACACACATCTCCACAACATGCGACACTTGTGTCGCGACACGTATAGACGCGGCCACCGCACATCGCTGCCCTCGTCAGATCCTTCACATCCCCAAACCGAATCAGGTCGGCCATCTTCAAGCATGAACAGCGCAAATCTCGGCCCATCTCCACCGGTGTGAGGTCATTGACAAGGATCGCGACCAGCTGGCCGTCCGCACCCTGCGACTGCTATTTGGAGCGCAACAGTCTTTATATTCCACATGTCTCAGACAAATTCCCGTCGCGTGTCGTTTGCTTCGACTACGACCATATCCCCGACATCTTTGGCATCTTCGGCGTCTTCGGCATCTTCGGCGTCTTTCGTCACTGCAAACACGGTTGCCAGCCGCTCGCGCACTCGCTCCGAGTCTATCATGGCCAACAGACCCAAGAGTATGCCCGACTTCTCTGCGCTCATGGATGCTTCCATGCCGCTGTTTGAGAGCAAGACGAATGCCAGGAGGAGCACGTCGCCGGAGAGGAAGTCGCCCGAGAGGGGAGAGAGGGCGGCGGGTCACTCGCGCAAGAAGCCGAGCATGTCGCTCGCGCAGGGACTGATTATCAACGGCGAGCTGCATCCGCCCAAGTCGCCCTACAGGCAGACTCACAGTCGGGGAAGCCAGGAGGGTGGGACCAACGCGGTGGACAGTGGCGAGGAGAGCCTGTTCTATGCGTATGCGCTGAAGGTGCGTTCGGCTGGGCACCTTATGGCGGAGTCACTGACATGATGACGACAGAGCGACTACCCAAACGCTCCTCCGTACCTCCTCACGTTCGCAACCTCGGATATCTGCGCACAGTGGTGGTCGCTTGTGCAGCGCGGGTACCCCGAGTCCGCGCGTCCGGGCGCCCAGCTCTTCGTTCTCAAAACGGACGACATGCAGGCCATACAGGACGACGCCAAGCTCTCCGAGCTGCGCAACAAGTGGTTCTTCACCTCACAGGACAGGTCCAACTGCGCGACACCTGTCATCCCGCTGCAGGGCGCGACCGGACATCTCGTCACCAGCGCGCCTCTGCCCCACCCTCGGCCAGCGGTCGAGAAGCCTGCCTACGCTTCAGTCGACAGCTTGGCTGAAAAGCTGGAACGGCTGTCCTCGGTGGTGGAGAGCAGCGCCGAGCACATCCATGCTCTGTCTGTCGCCCAGTCTGCCGGGCTTCAGCGCATGCAGGAGATCAACGAGAGCAACAGCACCCAGATCAAGGCGCTTGCTGAGTCGCAAGCTAAGCTGCAGGCACTCATCGACCAGAACGCATCGCATTATATTGCTTTGTCGAACACCTCGTTCAACTCACACGAGCAGGTAAAGGACGTCTTGCAGGCAACAACCGCCCAGATCCAAAGTCTGAGCGGGAGCCAGGCTCAGCTGGCGCAAACCTGCAAAGCAATGATGCGCAGTATCGAAAGCCTCGGTACTTCAGTTCAGCACATCCGCGCAGCTACACCGCCGCCTGCACCCCCTTCAGAAGCCTCCACCATGCAGTCCACACCGCCGCCTTCGTTCTCAAGTGCGATGGCAAACAGAATCAGCCCCGCACCCAGGAAGCTGAACAGGCGCATCCGAGGAGTGTGGTATGAGTATGACAATAACGCGGAATCGAGGGTCCATGGTGCACCTAGGAAACTTGCTCCTGCCCCTAATCTCGGTACTCCGCAGAAGACGCCTGCGACACCACCGAGGACACCCAAAAAGCTCACACAGACCTAAACAATTACCCAATGAGCAAACTGAGTGTCTCAGCTCCATTGACCGCTCTTGCAGGCGCGCGTTTGCGACGTCTCGCAACTCCACCGTTTGTTCGCTCACCACAACTACTTTCACTGCCGTGCTTCGACCAAGTCTACCCACCCACTTGCATATAAAGAAACCGCACGCCACAACCTCTAGTTTCTCTTTACCCCGTCCAAGTCAACCACCACCGATTGACTTCATTTAGATCAAAAAAACTCACCCATCCACGACATGGACTTCAACGGCGCCAAGTGGAATGACCGCGATAGGGACTGTCACAGGCCGGGTAGCGCCAAGATCTGCTGTGGGAGGGGTGTCTGGTATGGTGTTGGGGAGGTAGGATGTTGAGTGGTATGGATTGTGGGTTTAATTGTCCTTGAGGGGGTGGTGAAGAGTTGATGAGATAGCTGGGGTGTTGAGATGCGACGGGCTGCGAGACGCTGGCGACGCTGAAAGCTAGAAGTACCCAGGCTATCCAGAGCATCGAACCTATTGGCGGGCTTAAACAGACATGATGACGGTACTTTAACGAACCAATGACATCCATATCCACCTCTTCTGCACCCTTCTCCCATCTCGTCAGCGGTCTCCTCTAGCACTCCTCATCTTTCAAACAACCGCCATCTCCTGGCCCAGCCTTGCCGCTCCACCATCAACACTCCTCGGCACCCCTCTGCGACAAGTCTCCCTCCCAGGCCTGCTCCATACTTGACCAACTATCCCATCCGCAGCATACTTCGAGCCACGAGACACCAGCTCCCCTGTCACATATAACATGTGATCCGCCCAACGCGGTACAGAAATGATGAATCATCCCGCGATTTCAGCAATTTTCTTTGATGTACAGAGTGTAGTCAAGGTTGGTCATGTACGCACCTGGCGGCAGTGCATCGAGTGCGAAGATGGGACTTGGCGGCGAAGGTGTTTAGTGTAGTTCGCTGGATGACAAACAAGGTGGAGAGGTGGTGATTTGGAGAGGACGACTGTCCGAGGGAATACAGGGCAGGGGTGGAGTATGATGGTGCGGTGAGAAAGTGGGATGTTTGCGAATCGAAGACGGGGGTAAAGGGGGCCGGTACATCATGGCCCGGGAGCGATGTTTGTATTCGTTGCGTTTGGGATCGGATTGGTGATGGGCATGTTGGAAAGTACCCATGCTGCATGGGATGCCAAGCAGAACAAGCGACTATTCGGTCGACAAACTGCACATGAGCTTCCCCTGCTGTGCCTGGGGTCTTCACTCTCCTTCTCCCTGTGTAGTCTATTGTAGGCTTCTTAACGTGCACATGTAGCTTCGACCGAAAATATGAATAACACTCAACCCATTTTCACATAAACTCCCCTTCTTGTCGTATCCAGAAATGTCCCTATCCTCTATTCTTCGCAAAGCAGAACAGTCTTGAGAGATATGATATGGTAGAGAGTGCCACTATCCTCACTCGTCACACCAATCGACTGACTGTTCTCGAGGCAGTGAATGAACGACCAGGCCAACATAACTTACTCAGTGTCTTGATCATGGTTGCTTTCAGATTGAGAAAAGGCGGGGAAGGCGTGTTGATCGGCACGATGATGCTTTCCCATGATTCTGCGCGTGCATTATCGAAAAAGGGCGTCAAACCCAGGCACGATCTTTTCTCGAGCCACAGGTGCAATTTTACCGCGAGTGCAATCTCCGACAGAATTTAGTCGGGGGACCCGACACTCCCTATCCCGTAATGTAAACCTTGAACATTGGGAAGTACGTCTTCTTGGGCGGTGTTGATGCTCCTGGAGACGAATGAAGCGAGTGTGGCTTGAAGACAGTGAGTCTTTCGCGCTTGGATGATGGGAGGGTGTTTAGGGATGGGATATAGAAGGCAACACTGTGACCCCATTTAGAAAGCCGCCACATTTGTCCGTGGCTGTTTGATGACTGTCTTGAATCTTCTGACATGTTTTGATACGTCTTGATCTTGACTTAGACAATCTTGATTCTATGATAGTAGTCTGTAGATGCGTTTATGTTTTCTTGTTGCGATGGAAATGTAGGACCACTACTTCTTCTATGCGGTTTGCCCAACCGCCCTCCCAGACTCCAAGCCCCCGTTGCCACTCTGTACTAACGCAGACTCTGCATCCTCCTTCGCCTCCCGCTTTAGCGTAACTCTCTTGATCCCCAAAGTAGTCAACAAGCCCAACGCGGCAACAACAGTATAACAGATGAACGTGCCTCTCAACGCACTCATAAACACCTGCCTGACCACAAACCTCTGCGCCTCATCAAGCAGCGCAACGGTGTTGGCTTGACTAACCGCCTCGCCGCCTGCTAGCTGTTCTGCTAAATTTCTTGGCACGCCTGCAGACACGATGCTATCAAACTTGTCGCTCATGAGGGCCTGGAAAACAACCTGTCCAAGCACAACACCAACAGCGCCAGACAGCATACGCACGAACCCAAACGTCGCCGTACCAACAGCCATATCCGTGTCTTTGATCCGCGTCTGCAGCGCAATGAGCGGTGTATGGAATGTCGGTCCAAACCCTGCACCTATCAGGGCCAGAAATGCCACCGCCTTGCTGAGATCAAACGTCGCAGTGAGAGAGATCAGTGCGCCGATGCCGGCAGTCGTGAGTAGCAAGCCTACCTGCAACCAGTCCATGAACCGGCCCGTTTTCTCGATGACAAAGCCTGAGGTGAAAGACATGACAGTCAGTGGGATGGCGAGAGCAAGCATTAGTACTCCTGTTGTTGATGGCGAGCGGCCGGCGACGATCTGGAAGTACAGCGGTACGAAGTAGGCGACCGAGTTGAAGACCAGGGCGTCGAAGGCGCAGACACCCAGCGCGCTGAAGTTGCTCGTGTCGCGGAAGATGCGGAGCGGCATGATTGGGGTGCCACCGTGTTTGTCTTCCCACCACTGCGTAATCGGAAATATAGCATAAGCCATGGAGCCGAGTACTAGGAAGGCGATGACCATGGGGGAAGTGTAGGATGTTGTGCCGCCCGTCTGCAGGCCAACGAGGAGCAGGATGGTTGCGGCTAGAATGGTGAATGTGCCGAACCAGTCGATCGAGTATATGCCTGCGAGGAAGGGAGTGCGCGGGTTGTGTAGGTGCAGGGTGAAGTATAGCAGTACGATGGAGAGGCAGACGATGGGGAGGTTGATGTAGAAACACCAGCGCCAGGAGAGGGTCTCGGCGAAGAGGCCGCCGAGCACGGGACCCAGGGCTGATGCGACGGCCCAGACGGCGCCTACGATGCCGAGGTAGAAGGAGCGGTTGCTGATGTTGTTGTTAGAGGAGTAAGGAGTGCAGAATTTGGGGGGGGGGGACGTACCGGATTGTGAATAGGTCACTGACGCAAACGTATACTAGGACTGTGACACCTCCTCCGCCCAGACCTTGCACTGCTCTTCCACCCACTAGCATGGTTGCATCGACACTGACAGCACAGATGATGCTTCCAATCAGAAAAATTGTGTTCGCCACAAGGATGACGGGTTTACGACCAAAGACATCAGCCAGCGTACCCCAAAAGGGTATTGAGGAGGCATTGGCGAGGAGGTAGGCAGATCCAGTCCATGCGTACAGCGAGTCTGGAATGTGAAAGGACTGAGATATTTTAGGTAGAGCAGTCGGAATCAGCACGGTATCGAGGGCAACAAGGAAGATCGATATACAAAGTGCGGTGTAGGCAAGAAGAATGGAGAGAGGAGGTTGCGAGCTGGTGGTGGGAGCGGTGTTGAATGTCGTGTGGTCGCTGACTGAAGAGGTAGAAGACTTCTCCTTGTCCTCTGGTGATGCTGCTGATTTGACGACATCAACGGCTGAGTCGATAGTGAGGGATGTATGCCGTGATGATCGTTCTGAGGGCATGCCAGAACTACCAACATTTTCTAGTTCAAGTTTCGAGACATCGACTGTGGTGTTTGCTGGAGCCAAAGCAAAATCTGTTGTCGAAGTGCTTTGCGCCATTATGTGATTGCCCTTTGATGAAGGGGTAGGTGAATGTGCACGTTGCTCCAGGGCTGCGGTGAATGCAATAGTTATTGCAACACCGATAGGGGTATATAAATGAGGCAGAGGTCTCAAGTGGCGTTGTAGGTGCGAATAAAGTTCCTACCTCAGGACTGTTTCAGTAACAGCGACGGAGCCTGGTTTATAATGGTGTTTGCCTGAGGCAGGTGCGGACCCACCTTCACTCCCGACTTCGAAAATTGATAGCTGAACCACGGACCTACTCCGGTATTAATCTACCGCATTATGCAAGTTACTATCAGCCCAGAGCTCAGAGCCAGTGGGAGACATCCTCACACAGGCACCCCTGTACACACAGCCTCGTCACTGTAACCGTAGCTGAACGCGCCTTGTTCTAAGTCCTTTGTGTAGCTTGGTTATGAGTAATGCTGGCAGCGCGGCGCAGCAATAACATCTGCACGTTCATCGCTGCTGGTTTTGTAACTGCGCCCAGTATCGTGAACTCACTTTACTGTACCGCATTAGCACAACTACAAGCTTCTCGAAATAGGAGCATTGTACAAGGCGAGCATTATTCAAGGTGTTCTATCACTCGGCCCATTATCCGTCGGTGGGACTCCATCCGACATCTACTGTACAGTTTAGACGATTCGACATCCGGGACCAATCAACAACCTCGCCGGCTTGTGTTTCGACGGTACTTGACGTAAGATGATTTTATGATGTTGCTTCGGATGCGAACGCAGGGCACAATGCTGAATGAGCAGGTGAACGCCGAGCGTCGTATGTGCGGCTCGGGGGTTGCTGTGGTAGAACGACACTCGCATGATGACGAGAGATTCTGGTGTATTCGAAGAACTATTTTCGGCGCGATTGTATTGACCCAAAGTCAAAGCTTACAAGCTAATTGACAAACTCAATTAGGCATCATAGCGAAGTCGATACACGCAGAGTAGCGGACATGATGATGATTCGCTTACTCGGTAGTGGATCATGCAACACCCCTGTCGTAGCATGTTGTATAACATCTGAACCTAGCAATGCCTGCCTTCGAAGTCCTTAGTCCTGCAAGAAGGATCACTGTAGCAAGTGCAGATTTACAGATGCAAAGTGACGTTGGATTCCTGCCCGTCTCAGTACGCACCGGAGATGAACGAGCGAAGATCGTGTAGGAATGGGAGGGATATGATCCCAGAGCTAGCCATGCGCTGCAAAGTGATCGTCCCATTTCCTCACGTCGAAAGGAATCATGTTGAGAAACGTACCACAATCAGGTACCCGCTTGCCGGACCCTCGAGGTCGCCGTCCACGGAGTGCGAGCCTTTTCGCGAAGATCGTCTGTACGACCTTCCTTCTCAAGGGGCCCGGCAAGCGGTTAACGACATCTTCTAGCGCCCCCAAGAAGCAGGCGCTGGGTTTCGAATCCTGCTTGCGAAAAACAGGAAGCCGAAATTCAGCGATCCAATGAACTGTAGTGTCGACGTTAAAGTTAAGGTCTCCAGGTCCCATGACAGGAGCAACGAGAAGACGCCATGGCAGTAGGCACACGGAGGTGTGCCCGCCAAAGGCGCGAGCAGTAGCAACGGCCGACGAACCAGTCATTCGCCGTTATCACCGCTCCGCTTCGAACCGTGAAGGCGTTCACGTCGAGAGATGAGTTGCCCATCCGTGAGCTGATAATGCGAGGCATGCTTCGAGGCGAAAGCAAACGGTTGCGGGGCCATAGTGGCGATGTCTTACACCGTGGCAGGCGGCAGGAGCGGGTCGAAAGCTTCTTGAGACATCATAAACGTGTGGTGGCATACTGAGACATCGCAGTCGTCACCTCGCTTGTGGCTCATCGTGTTGTTGGGACAATCCCCGATCTCCGCAGCGCTTCGGTTGTTTTGACATGGTGGTCATACAAAGTAACCACGGCGCGGGGTCAATGTCCAACTTCAGACGCATCGTGAATAAGGACGGCAACGCTTTGTAGATGGACAACAGGCACTTTAGTAGCGTTGTGTGGAATCATAGGAGTTTTAGTGATTGCTAGACAGATGATGATGATCATGCGGCGGAGGCCGGGTGATCGATGTTAAGACATCGGGAGCGCGCCGCCACCGTCGGCCCGCTTGCCGCACAGACCACCACCTTCTCAGTGTCCCTCAAACTTTCAGCCCCTCAACTCCAGCAACTCATTCGATAGCCGCGAGGTCTCCCAGTCCTCGTTGACAACCTTCTCTAATGGTCACCTGCCATCTGCATGTGTCAGCATCGACGATAGTCTACACCGGAAGAGCTGGCAACAGGCGACATGCTTAAGGGGCCTCTACGATCTGCTGTCGTAGGCTGCAGATGACAAAATATTGCACCAATATGGCTTTGTCCGTACTAAGAGCTAGGAGCAATTAAGATCTTGTAGAGTCTGTACGTCCATGTCTTCCAAGTATATCTACCCAATTTTGGCTCAACCTCACATCTTTATATGAGAGATTCATTTGATTTTTGCGATAGCACAAGAGCTTTTGTTTGATTGCGTCTTATCGAATACAGCCGTCTTCAGGACGTGTCACGTACTGTCGAATTAAGGGGTCGTTTAACCAATCCTAACCACATGTATGAGCTCGTGCGTGTCCGAGTTCTTCGATGCAGCATCGAGGCTAAAACCCTTGCCATGACCAGACTCGTCGACATTGTTGGCAATATTAGCCATGCTAAACTGCCCTTGACACCATAGAGCTCGCCCCAAGGCCCACGCTTCGCCTCATCGTAATGTTCCCTCTGGTCCTTGGCATTCTCGGGCCTCAAGTTGAACATCAGCTAGACCTCTCCGGCCTGACCCGTAAGCTCAATTTTGACCACGACTGCAAAGTTTGTCTTTGTCCAAGCCTTGGAGAGACCATTATACTCTGTGACCGTCTCACCATCCACAGGGTCGTATCATTGAAGCTCACCGGGCTAGAAGAAAACGAATTCTTCAACTTCATATGCTAATGCGTCGCTCTTCTCAGAATCGTCCGATCCGCGCGTTTTGCGATTGTGCTTACTCTACCTACCTGCGTTCTCCTTGAGAGCCATTTTGTCCTTAATGAGAATTTCGATATTGTGCCACAGCGAACGCTCGCGATCACGATATGGTATGATGCATTACGCAAGTCTGCTTGGAGGCTGTTAGCACCTTCCTAAGCACCAAAGACACATAGCATACAACGTTTGGAGGAATTTAGCATGAGGAGCTGCTGCTATATCTTGCTGCTTTGTAGATATATCTTGTGGTCTGGAGTTGAGTAATTATGTTTATCTGTGACCGGCTGGGCAGGAAGGCGCAGGTAAGCGAGTTGCTGATTTCTGCTTACAGAGGACACAGACTGTACGCATGCAGCGGCCGACACAGCGACCTTCTTGGAAAAACTGCTCATCCTGGTTGAGGCTCACCATGTAACCCTACCTTTGATTGTTTGGGATTCGCATTACGATGAACATGAGCTTAAGATATGGTTTACTGGATGTGTGCTGCAGCGGCCGATGCAGCTTCGATGCCCTGACAGCGGCAAGACAGTGCTATAAGTTTAGCTCAGCATACGACATGAGAGACGACCCAATTTGCCCTACCCTCGAATCTGTACCACACCTGAAGTCAATTGCACTGTCAAAAGCTCCCCATCTCTACCATGATGTCCTCCATCCGCAATGTGCTGGTCGCCGGCGCAACAGGGTCTGTCGGCGCCTCAATCCTCACTGCTCTGCTTGCCGAGCCCTTCTTCAATGTCACAATTCTATCGTGCCAGACACTATCCGCCAAGTTCCCGCCGGGAGTCTTGGTCGTCAAGGTCTCGGACGAGTACAACACTGCTGAGCTCACTTCAGCTTTCCAGGGTCAAGACGCCGTCATTTCCGCACTCAGTATGTAACTACATGGCCTAAGTCACATGATATTCTATTGAGGAAGGCACTGCCCAAGGGCAAGTGCACTTACCTCTGAGCCGAGAGCTCCTGTACACCGACACCACCGAACAACAGATAGTAATTCAATCATTGACCACAGTCTCCAACCAACACTGCTCATGCAGTTACACAGTACCACCCCTGTTACACGTGACGAAGGCGATACCGGCCTGGCATAAGTGGGACTTGCACTGGCAGGATAGCGCGCCTGAAGTGGCAAGGCTGAGAGAGCAATTCGATGCAGGTGACTTCAACGCTACATATGGGCTGCTTGCACTGAGTTTCAGTTCTGATGTAGACGTTGGATATGACTTTGAAGTTGAGCAGGAGGTATGGAATGACAGGCTGGGGTTGCCAAAGGTGGATTTGGAGAAAGTCATTGCAGATGCAATCAAGCTCGTAGAAACTAGACCTTGAACGCAGACTGGCTTCAGTGATGCCTTCTATCTGAGCACAGACTTGCCGTTCAAGTGTAAGGTCACATCTATGGCTACCGGAATGTGTTGCCAGACTCATTTTCAGTGCCAATCTACTAATGTGCCGCAATATTGGAGGGACTATTTTGCCCTTTCGACTAAATTTTTTTGTATAAGTTTACACAGCAATTATGGTAGTTCTAGGAGACTTTGTTAGGTTGTAAGTGGCTTGCAACTAAAGATCGAGTACCTCCCACAAATTCAAGCTTTTCATGCTACTTACGAGAGGGGGTCCACGATAAGCAAGGGACTCCCCCAGATAGTGCAGCCCCTACGTATAAGGGCAGCTCAACATACACACCAGAGCTTATCTAGACAGGCAATGACTTGGCTTCTGTACTCGACTATCAACGACTTTTCGAAGCTCGTGGCCTACCGCAGCCTGCTTCTTCGACCATTGAGGTTTAATGGGCGCCATGGTGTATCAGCAGTAGTTGAAAAAGGTTGACCGTGTCTATACAGTTTCTCTGATATGTTGCGGTATCAATCGTCCCGTACAAGGCCTGATTGCTGCTGCTCAGACTATTCTGAACTAGCATGTTCAGGGCAGGTATATATTGTCTTCTCTTGGCTAGACAGCAACTCAGTGCAGTGTTCCATCGTGTTCTACCAGCGCCCCCACGCCGCCACATGATGGAATTCATAGGAGCAGGGACGAGATGGTCGCGTGTGGCATTGTGTTCGAACACTAAACACCAACAGTGAAAGAGTCTGGCGCCTTCGAGTGGTGCCAACAGTAGTGGGAGACTGTCGATAGCGATCGTACAATGCCTTTCGGATTCGGCAGATATGAAGGCGCTGGTGCCACCCTGTTTCTGATCGGTGCTTTTCAAAAGCAATGGACGCAGCCTGCTATGGTTCATCGCGAGACCCCTAAATATATAGAATTTGTTATTGGTTCTGTGTCTCTGGTTCAAGAACAGGGTACGTCGACCGAAGACATGGATCATTAAGAGGATGTGAACACATACGAGTTTCGCTATAACCTATGGTTGGTGGTGTTCACCACTTCTGAAGTTGACAATTCATGAAGGACCAACGCAACCTGCCGGCGAATACCGTGTCTGTGCGCGCAATGCGCACGTTCTCGCAATGCGCGCCTCAGCACTTTCACAGGCAACACAAAAATGAGGCTGTAGAGCCACACACGATAGTTATTATTGTGAGATATTTTGGTGGAGTACTCTATAGGCCTATGCGACAATATTCCCTCATACAAAACGGGCAGGCAGAGTTGAGGTGCGGCCACGGCGGGTGGTTGTTGTAGGAGCCACCTGCACCAGGCTCTCAGCAGCAGCACCACTCTGGGCAGCAGCAACACCACGATTCTGCTTCTTTCTTGGTACTGCTTTCTGTGAGGCCTTGTGCTTGCCTTTTTGGGATAATTGTAGAGCTTTTGCAGCGTCGCGGGCTTGTTTTTGACGCTCTCTCTCAGTTCTGCGTTCGGCTGCTTCCTCTGCCTGTTCAGCCTTCTGCTGGTCACGCTCTTCCTTCTCCCTTATCCGCGCCTCACGCTTCTGCTGCTGCTGCTTCTCTTTGAGTAGTTTTTGAGTGTGTTGTAGCTCCTTCTGGGTAGCTTTCTCTGCCTCTACCTGTTGTTGATGGGCCTCAAATGCAGCAGCACGGGCATCGGCTTCCCTCTTCAATGAAGGACTCCACCAGGTAGCTCCTCCGTGCCGCTCAAGGCTGTGAGCATACAAAGGCAGTACCTTCTTCTTATTCTTCACCCTATCCTTAGCAGTAAGAGCCTGTTGTACACCTTTTAACTCATGCTGAGTGAGCTCTAGTTGAACGTGGAGCTGGTGGATAGCCTGTTCCAAAGCCGA